CCAATGTCATTTCATCTGCAGAGAAGGTGATGGCCTCAGATTTGGGGGATGCAAAAGGTATTGTTTTTATTGACTATCTTCAAAAAGGCTGCACCATAACTTACTGAGGCAGTTACAAAAGGCTATCAAGACCAAATGCCAAAGAAAACTGTCAAAAAGGATCTTGTTTCATCAGGACAAAGCTCCAGCACAAGTCTTTGATTTCAATGGCTGCTGACTGTAACTTTGGCTTTGAACTGGTTGATCACCCTCCCTATTATTCTGATTTAACTATCATCTGTTCCCCCCCCCAGCAAAAAACAAAAAAAAAAACAAAAAACACATGGCTGCGACCCAGTATCACAGTGATGATGGAACCATATCTGCTGTTGATGGCTTTTTTTTTTTTTTTTAACAGTATAAAATGGAAGAAATGTGTGGACTGCCATGAGGATTATGTTGAAAAAATAAACCTAGTTTGGTCGCATTTCATGAGAGTATCTTGGTCAGCCTATGAACTTTTCAGCTATTCTCATGTTTTCCATATAAAGTGGTAGTATTTATTTGTAATATATACATTTAAAGTAAACGTTCCCTATTCACATCTATAGATTTAAACCATTCAATACATTGAACAGAACAAATAAATTATGTTTGGATAATCATTTATATTATATAAATGCATGAAATTGAAGAGCACTTTTCAGCCTCCTGTTCTAAAAATAAATAAATTGCAAAGGACTTTTCAGCCTCTTCCTATCAACCATCCCATGGAAGTACCATGGGTCCAGCTAATTAAAATATATCTTGCTTTGTAACAAAACCTTAAATTTATAAAGAAATTTATACACTACCATTTACATACTTATACAACCATACATTGCCTGTTGTCAATGTGTGTGCGTGTGTATATATGAAGAAATATAGTTTTAAGGTGTGCTATATTTATAGGATAAAGTGCTCAATATCAGAGACAGAGCGTATGTAAATATAAATATAAAAGTGAACATTGAAGTCAACACTCAGAGGCGACAGGCTGTTTCATGCTAGACGCAATTGTCAGTTCGCTGCTTAACAATTGTGTCTAGCATGAAACAGTCTGCAGCCTCTGACCATACGGGCCTGTTTCACTGTATCACAGTTCATCAGTGCGACTAGACAAGCAAATGCTTCAAACCAGATATATATAACACGTTTTCAAGACACTGAAATGTTGGTCTCGAGCATATATATTTTTTTTTTCTTTTTCTTTTTTTTACAAATTAGCACTTGATGCTATTTACAAATCCATGAAGGAAGTAGTAGTAGCCAATACAACCAACATTTTCAGGTATTTAAAAAATTATTGTGTTGTGGGAAGGGGTGTCATTTAACTTAAGTCTGTAACACACAGAATCCACAGGTTTGCCTATCGTCCGTTACACAATCCTCCCCAACTTTTCGAACAGAAGTAGAGGCTCATCCCTTGTTTCCAGTTGGGGATTAGTTTTCTGGTCCCTTCTAAATTCTACTTCAACTTTATACTTGTAACGTCTCCCCCCTGAACTCTGAAATTTTATTCACTAATTTAATCTTAATCTCTTTAAGTGTAGAATTAGCAATCTTTCCTGTTATCTTAATCTTTCTTATGCTAATACAATTCTGCAAAGTAACCTTCTGCAAGCTTTAGGCCTTGTATTGGGTGAACATTAGTTTAAATAAATAAATAAATAAATAAAAAATGATAGCACCTATAAGAAATCACTGTCAGCATCTTTCAGAGATATATGCCTTCAATAAATGTCAATTTTCTAAATTTCTCAAAACAGGCCAGCACAGCCAGGTAACAATGCTGCAGTGAAAGTGTTAAAAGTAAACCATTTAAAAATCATAGCTTGGGAGTAAAGGGAAGTAAGTACTCTTGACTTTTTCTTAAATAACTTCTGAAGATCTATAAAAAAAAGTAATATATAAATTATATACTGTACATGAAATAAAAAACTACCAAAATGTCTAAACATAGTGAAATGCTTTTAATTACAATGTTGCTATTACTTTTTTTTTAAAAAAAAAATAAAAAATAAGAAAACCAACATACGTAAATTTTACAAAGAAAGGAAAGGAAAGGAAGAATCTGGCCAGAGTAACACTGGGTATCCTTGCTAGTTATTTATAAACATGTCTCAGTTTACTGGAGATTACTGAAGTTATAGAAAGAGAAAACATTGTTCATGCTTTTTAACTACCATCAATGCCACTCCCTTTTTCATTTAACTATACAGTTCATTGCTGTTTAAATTGTTTTTAAACATTAAAACTGAACCCCCACTATATATACAGTAGGTGAAGACTTGTCAATAATGCACTATTTTAAAAAATATTAAACCAAAGCAAACATGAAGGATTTTTTTTTTTTCTTTTAATATTCATCCCTTCAGTATTAAAGAATTATTTTAACATTCACAAAATAGTCTGTGAAGAAGCTCACCTAAATGAAATACTTGTAACACCTCGGCCTACAGTCTAAGTTTACATGGCAAAAAGAAATAAGAGATATGTTTTGAATTGAATTAATACAGTGGGGTTTTACAATAGGCACTGCCACTAAAAATAACTCCAGATTATGAATATGTTTTCTTTTTTAAAAAAAAAAAAAAAAAAAAAAAAAAAAGTTAATCACTATGTAAATTCATCCCCTTAAAGAAGACAAAATAAATGACATTCTTATAAGACATGGAAATGCTATGTATACTTGTGTATAAGCTGATTTTATGTACAGAGCAACCACTTAATTTTGGGGGCATGAATTTCAACCCCTCCAGAAAATATTTACCTGCGTATAATGCAACCAGTCACCAAAAATGCATTTTTAACCTCTTCAAAATATTAATTACTCAAGTATAGTGCATCCCCAGATTTTTTTTTAGTGTTAAAAAAAAGAAAATCGCATAATACCCAAATATATATCGTAAATAAATAAATCTCCAAAATCCCTGACCTGAAGTAATTTTTTTAACGTATTTTGGTATTGGTTAAGCATTTCCGATAAATTTATAAATTTAAGAAATCACATGGTATGAGCATATTTTGTTTTGGCTTCCATAGGAGGATCAATTTACATAGCAAAAGTGCACCCCACCATTAACTTGGGATGGAGGAACTAAACATTGATATTTCTAATCTGGAGTGCTTACTCCACACACATTATATATATATATATATATATATATATATATATATATATATGAGAGAGAGAGAGAGAGAGAGAGAGAGAGAAGCCGCTGCAAAAGTTTTTGATTATAATGTTTTTTTTATTATTATTAATTTTTTTTCTTTTTCTTCCTATGTTGCCTTTTGTCTGTAGTAGTAACCTGAACTCATTTTGGACTGGGTTCAGATGACTACTACTTCAAACAAAAGGCTGGTTAAAAGACTTAACATAGGAAGAAGAAAAAAATTCCTTTAAATAATATGTGAATACAACCATTCTTTACTTGATGAAGGTCACAAGACCTGAAACCTGTGTAGCAAAAAATATATTAAAAAAATTCACATTATAATAAAAAATGTTTGACTTCTCTCTTTAAAATATACAATTTTCTCTCAGAACTAATCTTTCCCATATGTGTTTGTGTGTGTATTTTTTTTTTTTTTTTTTAACAAAATGACTATTTCTGCTTGCAGTGCTTGTTGTATAATGCCACCTTTATAACAAATGATAGTGGCTAATTACACTTGTTAATGAAACAATACATCAACTAATGAATCTCACTACTTTCCTAGTTTTATATATTTTTAAAAACTAAGTTTTTCTTTTGTTTGCATTCTCGAGTAATAAAACTGATATGCCACCAATTATTATTTAAAAACATTTTTTTTTTCCTTCCTGAATTGGTTTGGTTAAAAATGGACCATCAAGAATAAAATGGAAAATAGATAAAAAAAAAAAAAAAATTATGGTTGAAAAGACTCTCCAGGTGCCAACATTAATAACTCTTGGCTCAGATTTGAAAAGACTCACCCAATGTCAACATAAATCGTCCTCGACTCAAATTTGGAAAGAGCCATTCTACCATTTTTAAATTGTTGTATGTAAAGAACATTTTCCAAAATGTTATGTCCTTGTTCCTGTAGCATATGCCAATATTTTTCTCCCCATTCGCCATCCCACAAAGGTTCATATCTTAGGACATTCACCATACTTCAAAAACTGCACTACCTCTGAATAAAAAAAATTATATATTATTATTAACAGTGTCTTTTTGAATATAGATTTCTAGGGAATTAAATTTTACACCATTTTTAACAGTCAGACTAATATCCTCATCTTTGTTGTTATCATCATTAAAAGATTAAAGTATAAATTAGTGAATTTGGTGACATAGTAATTGTGGGTTCGGATAATAAACACAGTGGAAACATAAGAAAATTAGCAAAGATATCTCTAGGTATGAACAGTGGAATGAAAACAATCCATCCCTGTAGATTAAATAAAGGGGCTCAGTTTGAAATTCCCTGAAGGTTACCAGGATCTGCAGACACCTGAAGAAGGCCGGAGTGCACAATGAACGAAATGTTGCAATAGTACCAACAGTGATGAGAATATTTTGTCTGAATGTAAATAATGCTAACTGCTCATCCCAGAAATTCAGGCAGAAATTAGATTTTACAGGTAGAAAAATGTTCTGGCCTTCCTGGGGAGAAAGTGGATATGACTGAGCCAAGATCTAAGTGGCCATTTACTCATAAGTCTTGGGTAATACAGATTTTACAAATACACAAATGTAGAATCTGTATAGAGACAAAAATAAAAAATGTATGAAATATTAGTTCAATAAATTGGAATCAATCAGTAGATGTATTTTCATAAAAGAAAAGACAAATACCAAAATCCATTGATGCATGAATGGATATGTTGGGGATTTTAGAAGAACATGAAAATAATGACTGCAATGGGCAAAGGGTGTGAAAGACTTGCTTAACATCTAGATGGCTGCCTCCAAGCTTGAGCCCCAAACCAACCATATTATGATTACAGCTGGTTAAAAAAAAAAAAAAAAAAAAAAAAAAAAAAAAAGGAGAGAAAGAAAGGGAAAAAAGGAGAAAAAAGAATAAAGAGAATAGTAAAAAAGAATAAAGAGAAGAGTAGAAAAGAAGGAAAGAAAGAAAAAAAAAGAAAGAAAGAAAGAGAAAAAGAAAGAAAGAAAGAAAGAAAAAAAGAAAGAAAGAAAGAAAGAGAAAAAGAAAGAAAGAAAGAAAGAGAAAAAAAAAAGAAAGAAAGAAAGAGAAAAAAGAAAGAAAGAAAGAGAAAAAAGAAAGAAAGAGAAAAAAGAAAGAAAGAGAAAAAAGAAGAGAAGAAAAATTTTTAAAAAAAGTAAAAGATGAGACAATACCATACCACCACCATCCACAATAAAAACTTGTAAATCCCTAGAATATAAGAAAACCGATATGTTTACCATAAAGCTACACCATCTATCTTCTGGAACACACAATTTTTTTTTTAGTTTCCTTTTTCACATATAGACCAAGCACATTTATATTTATTTTGAGGGAGAGAGATAGAGGGAAAATGTTTGCAGCCATCAACTTCAAGCAACCATTTTAAATTCAGACTTATCACAGATACAACATATAAAAGCATTTTTAAATAATCAATAGACTTAAGTGTGGAAGCTGGGGCTGCTCTGTTGGTGTTGTTATAAAAACTATAATGTATATCTAGTCAGCTGAACACAAATTTGAGGGACAGGAGTACCAAGTAGTTTATCAAGTAAATAAAGATTTTTTTTTTTTTTTTTTTTTTTTTTTTACAAAAATTACAGTTCAGTCCCTGATGCTGTATGGATGACTTGGCCATTATGCAGCAAAATTCTACAATGTCTGTGCGATATACAAAGATTTTGTAAACAAATTCCTTGTTTTGTATACAACTACCAAAAATAGGTTAGCAGAGGAAGATTTATTTACTGGAAGTGGGTCAGCATGAACTTATGTACCCAAACCATTTTTAAAAATGTCACAAAAAAAAAAAAAAAAATTTCACCCCCATCTACCTTTTATTTTATTTCTGTTATTAAAAATATCTTTTCTTAATTTTAACATTAAAAAATAAACAAAAGCACATTAAAAGTGACATAAAAAAACTTATCACAGTGAAGCCAGCATTACAGAGTTATAACGCAGACATCCTGCCTAAAGTGTTGTAAGAAAGGCATCCTATTTAACAGCTATATATATATATATATATATATATATATATATATATATATATATAATATATATATGGAGATTTATTTTTTTGGGACTCTGTATTTCAAAAATTTTTTATTCTAGCAAAACCTTTCACTTCTTAATCTGACAGACATTATATAAAAAAAAAGTTTGAACAAAATTGATACTGTTACTGGAACGCAAGTCATAAACTTGAAAATGTAAAGATATTACTATCTACTACGATTTAAACTCAAATCATATAAAGGATGATATGTGAGAGAATTGAGAGAGAAAAAAAAAAATAGCTTCATTTCAAACTTTAAAAAAATATGTTCATTATAAGTAGTCAACCAAACAAGTTCAAGAAACACCAGTTAGAAAGAGGTATCTAAAAATTCTTATTTTGAAGACAAAAATAAAACTTTTTTTAATACAAATATTACTTGGAATGAATTCTAGAAATATTGATATGTCAAGATCATTCAGATGTAAAGAATATGTTTTTGACAAACTTGGATCTTCGTAGCTGCAAAAAAAAAAAAAAAAAAAAAAAACAGACCGTCAAAAGGATGCTTTTCCATTGACACTATTATTTTAACTACTTTTATTTCTTGACAATGTTTATTATTGTTTTAAAAAGTGATTGTTAGAATTGTAATAAAACCTAAATATGATAAAAGTGAATTGATATATTTTTTTTTATTCTTGACAATTTACAACAAAAATATTAAACATTATTTATGAGATTGTTTTTTTTTACAAGAATAATTTCATATTTACAACATTCTAAAAACTAATTAAAACTAATGCAACGCAATATTTATTGTTCAAATCAGTTGGCTATTAGCTGATGTTTTGCCAACCATTCAAATAAATAATATATTAAATACTGTTTATTACTTTTGTGTCAATTCTCAAGAACAAAAAAAATGTATAAATTCACTTTCATGTTTAGGCTTTAGTACAATTCTAATCATTGCTTTTTAAAATAAACATTGCCAAGGAGTAAATGTAGTTAAAATAGTAGCAATATTAATGAAAAAAGACCTCCTTTTAACACTATTTTTTTTTGCAGTCATTAAGGTAAAAGTTTGCCATGTTTTTTTGAATTTAAATGAATGTAAGTGCACTCTTTCCAAAGTTATAGCGTTGGGTTAACCAAAACTTCTACTGTATATTCTTGGATTTTTGCGAAAGAGTTTTAAAAGACTGAGTAAAAGAACAAATGGTACTGCCGTTTATTTTATCTGAATTCATGTAATTATAGCAAATGGAATAAAGTTATAAATTTTTTTTTGTTGCTTTTTTTTTTTAAAGAAAACTGAAATAAAAAAACAAACAAAAATGACATGCAAAAAAAGAAAAGAAAAAGAAAGAAAAAGAAAAATATTTATTGTTTTTTTTTTTTAAACCAACATAAAACAACAAAGTGGTATTTTTCTTTTCATGAATGAATTACTTAACATATGGAATTTTACATTTTAATATTTTTTATTTTTTTATTTTTGCTTTAAAAAAGACAGTTTTTTTCTTTTCTTTCAAATTGGGATTTTTTTAAAATTCTCCAATTATTCCTTTTGTTTTGAATGCTGACGTTAGCATGTCTGTTTGCAGTGTCCATCATCATAGTTATGGAGCCTCTAAATCAAGGAGGAGGGGGGAAGGAAGGAAGAAGAAAACCAACAATTTTTAGTAATACTTAAGAAACTATGTAAAAGTGTATGTAACCAAAGATATATAGTCGGTAGGTAAACAAGACAGGAAGAAAGAAGGGAGAGGGGAGATGAGAGTAGGGACTTGACAAAAAATTGGCTTAATTCTTTTGTCTTCTTTCCAGACATTTTCTTTGAAATAGATAAATCAAATTATTTTTTTATCATCATCTAAGTGATGTAACAAAGACAAACTGGCTATGTACAATAATACAGTAAATAGTGCCGTCACCAGACAGAAGTACAACATTCATCACCGACTTTTTTTTTTTTTTTAAATTTTATATATTTTTAAAATTTTTTTACACCATATTATTTTGTTTCCATTTTTTCTTAACCAGTTATATGTCCTAGGGCCTGCTGAATTAGACAATGTAGCATGAAAAAAAGAAAAAAAAGAAAGAGTGTAAAGGAGGAGCAAAGAGGGTAGAGGAGGAGCAAAGAGGGTAAAGCAGGGGGAGGAGCAAAGAGAGTAAAAGAGAACAAAAAGAGAAAGAGAGAGAGCGAATAACCAAACAAACCAGCTGGCATTTTTACATTCCAAACATAGCTATCAGCTAAGAATTTAATTTTTTTTTTTGTTTTTCTTAATCAAGTGGAATGATGCAGAAACTCACTTTTAAACACAGCCAATAATAATGACAAAACTGTACCTGATTTCAAAACTGGTTTGGTGAAAGAAATGACCTTCATTTACAATCTTATATGATATAACCATTATAAACCATTCACTGATATATCCACATATGGAAAGATAGCGGTCAACTTTCCTTTAGAAACAGAGATTGCCTAGAGAATTTCTTTTTTTTTTTTTTTTTTGACATTTTCTAAACAAATGCTAAACTAGAAAAAATTTTTTAATAAAGACATTTTACATCAACTTTCCCACCGTGCAGACATTTTTTTTTTTTAACAGATCTTCTTGCCTTGAAATTTGTTTTTATAGTCAGCTCATATTTACACTGTCTAGATGTACGTTCTTCTCCCACACACCCTCTTCCCCCCACCCCCACCCAGATGAGATACAATCTCTGTGTATGCATGTCTATGTACGTATGAAAGAATGGACTATAATCCAGCATTATGATACTGTCTATTACCTTTGGAGAAGGAATCTGAAAAAAAAAAAAAAAAAAAAAAAAAAAAAAGGAGAGGATGTTTACATGTTAAGGGAAGGAGTGAAATATTACTTGTAATCCCATCCCACTACACACACACACACACACACAGTCCCGATATAGAATAACAATCAGACTCAACCAAAAACATGAGTGATATCTACTGGATTAAAAGCAATGAAAATCTTTAAAATAAAGAGGGGAAAAAAGGGGGTGGGAAAAAAAATGGAAGAAAGTACATCTAGGCAGGGATTGAACCTAGACTCCCTTTTCACCCTAGGTTAAACAGGTATGTATAATACCATTTCACCTAAAGAGGAATATACAGCAAAGCTGAAATGGTAAAAGCATGCCCAGCTACAATGTTTCTCGAAGATAAAAAAAAAAAAAAAAAAACGGAATACAGGTCCAATTCATTTTAAGAAATATATTTACTTTAAGATTTTCAGTGGTTCTAGGCCAATAGATATTAATTCTATAATTTCATTGTTAAAAAAAAAAAAAAAATAAAAAAAAAAAAAATAAAATAAAAATAAATATATATATATATATATATATATATATATATATATATATATATGTGTGTGTGTGTGTGTGTGTGTGTGTGTGTGTGTGTGAGAGAGAGAGAGATATATGCCAGGAAAGGTTAGGGTGGATTGCTGGTCAGAAAGTAAAAAGTATAGAACAACAAAAATACAACTGAACTACATGAGGAGATGTTGAGGTGCACGTTATGTCTTTTCGGGTTTCTTTTTTCTTTTTTTGGTAATTTGTTTGTCACCTCTGATTAATAATAGAATCAACACAACAACAACAACCCAAAATAATGACACAAGTCAATGATAATTATTCCACATAGCAATTTGGCAATACAATGTACGTTTACACAACAACTTGCTGGTTTGTTGGTCAGTCTTTCTGCTGTTGTTATAGCAACAGCATTAATTTGTTTCTCTTTTTTGTTCTGTTTTTTCCCCCTTTTCACTCTAAAACACTCTTTATATACATGTATAGGTATATAATTTCTGTAATTTTTCAAAAAACTATCAAATTTTCTTTTAACAATTTAGTATTTAGGTCATTGACTTGAGGCATTAATGAGACACACCCCTTCACTCCCATAGCACGAAGGACACCAAATAAGTCACGCTGAGTGGGTGGAGTGAGCAAAGATGCAAAAGAATCTCTTTCAGAGGTTTTTCTTTGCAAATATTTTACTTTCTTTTAAGAAGATTAACAAGTGTTTCATGTAGCCATCTTGAAGAAGGGTAAAGGGGGGAGGGCGGTTTGTTTGTAATAGTAGTGATAATAGTGGTGGTGGTGGTGGTAGTAGTAGTAGAAATTAAGAAGGATGAACATTTCTATCTTGATGTGTTTCAAAGAAATCAAGTTGATGCCATCCTCCTCCACTGGAATGGTGACTGCTCAGCAGTTGTCTCCCCTTCCATTGTTTTTCTTTTTCTTCATTTTTTTTGTTTTGTTTTGTTTCTGTGTTTTTCCTTTTATCTTTAGTTTCTTAATTCCTCCTAAAACTGAGACTCAAGCAGGTTACAAATTTCTTTTGGCACTGTATCTTTACTCGCTCTTACTGTCAAACGATACATCTGAAAAGAGACAGGACAAAGAAAATTAAATACAGATACATTAAAATGATGTGATCGATTAAATGCACAGAAATAAAACCTTTTAACAACAAACTAGCTGAAACCGCACACAACATACGGCAGAATTTTTAAGCTCCTGCAATAAGCTGAAATAAAGTGAGTGCTTGGATGCAATTATGAATTATGTATTTATTGAATCACACTTATTTGATTTTGGTTGGTTGGTGTTGTTTAGCAGCATATCAACACCTATATGGGTTATTTAATGCTGAAATCTAAATAATCTGGACACAATTTTATGGCTTCAACTAAATATATTTTGAACACAACTGTATAGTTTCAACTAAAGATAAAATATATTGTTGGTCATTTTCTTTTTTTATAGAAAAATGTATTGCTGGTGTTTTTATACTTTAATAATGTTTTGTTTGGGGGTTTGGATGGTGAAGAATGGACACAATCGTTAAATTTTCAAAATTGGCTTACCACAGGGACGTTTTCCTTCCTTTAGTTCTTCAATAAAAGAGCTACCACACACACACACACATATATATAGATATATATATATATATACACACACACACACACTTGTCATCTGTTGCAGCATTCACCTGGTCAGTTGAGCCAGCTTCCTCAATTGAACCCTCCATGTCCAAACAAAACCTGAACAAACGTAACAGTGGTTGCAGGAAGCTCAGTGATGATTTGGATTCACAAGCTGTCCTCAGTCGCATCTGTACACACTTTTAAGCTAGTGTCATCCGTTTTGAATTCAAGGTTTTTCTTTCGCCTAGAGTGGTTGCCACCCAAGGCTATACAATCCAGTCTGTCCTGCCATTTTACCCATTGTTGAGGGTAGAAGAAATGGATTCATACCTTTCTCAAGGATATTAGCACATAAGTGAATGTAATGAACTTGAACAGAATTCAAACTTGGCTCTTTGATTCCACTACCCTAACCACCAAGGACATCTTAGTCATTCTGACTAGGAACCTTAGGTTAATAAATAGATTGAGTAGAAAAATGAAACAAGTCCTCCCTGGTGTCAATCCCAGCGTGTTTACATAAAGTGGATTGTTAAAAAATATGAAAATATCTAACTCAAAGATTTTCATCTCATGTGTAGAATTAATTTAGTGTATGGGGTATTTGGAAATTGCTACGATGCATATTGCCTATCTGAAAGAATATGACCTCTGTTATGCCTGGTCAGCTTTGTGCTGGGTTCGTTTGAAAGAGCCTGCACAACTGACTGGATGAATGCCACATCATATATATATATATATATATATATATATATATTAATAACACTTAACGCCAAAACAACCTTGAAAATGTCTAAAGAAGTAACTGAAAGCACTTGGGACAATAGTCAATACAGACAATTTTTACACTCCCTTATTCCCATCAAATGGAAAGATGTTAGAATATTAGAAAAACCAAATAAAAAAAAAAAAAAAAAACTATTCCAATTTTCCTTGTCTGTCATTTTCAATGAAACATGAAAGGATGTTACCCAAATATATATTATATATTGTTTTTTAAAGCAACTAGAATACAAGAGGTTACTGAGTGTTAGAGAAAAGAAGAAATACTACTATTAATGAGAGAAGACAATAAAAGAACTGGAATTAAGACAGAAGATAATGATTGACATTACATCTAAACTTTTAAAGGATGTAGAAAATAAAAGAAAAAATTGTTGGATTACTAGGTGATATCCATCCTCTTATATGGCAGTGAATGCCGGGCAATCTCCCCACAGATGAGGAGAAAGTTAGAGGCAGCAGAAATGTTGTTCTACAGAAGGATACTGAGAATTTCATGGATGGAGCAAGTAAGCAACAAGAAAGTCTTAAAAATAGCAACAGAAAAAAAAAAATCACTCATACACTAAATCAGGAAAAGACAGCTGAAATACCTTGGACACATAAAGAAGAAGGAGTGTTTGGAAAACTTAACACTCATGGGGCAAATCAATAGTAAAAGAGATAGGATAAGGCAGTGAGCCATTTACACAACAAACTTCTGTGAATGGATGATGGAACAGGCCATGCGGACCTTAGGAGAAAAAAATGCTAAGAGCCACGCAAGATAGGAAGTTGTGAAGAGTCATGAAGGAATGTGGCACATAAAAGAAGTGTCTGAATCTCTGTAGAAGTTGTTTGGTTCAGGTGACCAAACACCAGCTCATTTCGATCCAAGAAAGGCAATAAAGCCACTAGGATGCAAGGGGTTACTGAGTGTTAGAGAATCGGAGAAAAACTACTATTAAAGAAAGAGGACAATAAAAGAACAAGAATTAAAAAGACAGAAAATAATGATTGATATTACTGTTAGCATAGAACTTATGCCTACATCTATCCAAATCAACTGCAAATTGATGAGATCTCACCACCAGTTAAGTACTGCATTTAAATTCAAAAAGTCTACGTACCATAGTGAAAAGCTCATCTGAACAATTACCATAAAAAATGTTTATAAGAAAAGCACATGGAGGCAACCATATGGTGGTAGGAAGTGACTGAAGCTAAGATGCCAGATCAGGACCCATAATATTGCTGATTCTTCTCAAGGAACTTTCTCTCTCTCTCATATATATATATATATATATATATATATATATATATATATATATATAGCAACCTTTCTTTTAAACATCATACATTAGATACAGCAGACAAGGAAGATTTAATTGTTTTAGTTTTCCGGAATCCTTATGCTTTACTGTTTTGTAGGAGTAAGAAAGTACAGAAATTTTCCATAATTTTTCATTGTCCCAAGCACTTTTGCCCACTTCTTTAGCCATTTTCAAGGGGGTTTTGTCTTTGGTGTTGCTAGTTTTTCTTCATGTTTTGACTGTTTAAGTAGTATTTTATTTTTGGCTTCTTTTGAGAAGGAACGTTTACTGTGCGTTGAACGCAACTGGAATTCATGTGAGCATATTTATATTTTTAAAAAAAATTTTACACTCGATTTCTGCTGTTAAATAATGTCAGGTTGAGGGCCTCTATAATAGCCAGATGTTTCTGGTAATGTGATTTATATAGAATTTCAGTGTTTTTGACCAGAATTTTTCTTAAGGGTTCTTTGTAAATTGTGGGTTGATAGATGTTTTTTTACATAGCACTTTGATCTGACAAGTAACACGTAAGGCGTCTACTCAAGGAGGTGGCAGTATGTTCGATATAGGTAGATTTGCGACAAGTAACACAGTCTTGTACTGAGCAGTGAAATTGATACACTATATGTATATAATATTTTGTTACAACTCACCATTTGTTATCCTGTTTCACATATTGTTATTCTACAATTCCTTTATACAAAACCAAAATATGTAAGGTAAAGACATACATGGAACAGTCTTGTGGATCGTAACTACAGAAGTATATTTACTTCTAATTGTGAGTCCAACATTTTAGTTCTAGTGTCATATATGCAGATTTTGTGACTAGTAATTTTATTCCTTTGTTACTAACCTTTTGTAGCAAAACAAATTTAATCTTATAAAGCACTAATGTTAGAATACTTTAAAGACTTATTAAAAAATACACAGAAAAAAGTATTAAATATCCATGTACATATAGTAATATATGACTTCAAAAATGAACTGAGAAAAATAAATGCACACACAAGTACATTAAAAACCAAGTGCGCAATACATACTTGAGCCTGCAGATTTGGTTCTAACCGTACTAAACAACCAATCTGTTGATTTCTGGTATGCAAAATACCAGCTGATACATAATTGTCTTTGTTTGGGTCAATTCCTTCCAAGACACTCAAACTAAAAACCAAGGATCTGAAAAGACAAAAAAACAAAAAAAACATCAATTTACTGAATTCTTTTTATTTATATATATATATATATATATATATATATATATATATATATATGAGAATTAATTGGAACAAAGAGTTCTGTTTTCCACCCTCTCTCTAACAGAAAAATATTTTCTTGCAATTCTGTTCACATCATGGAAGGCAAACTTGTAGATATGGTGAGCAAACTCAAAATGTTGACTTTGTTAATTCCGAATTATAACAGGATTACTATTTGAAAATTAGCATAGTACCTGTCAAAAGTAATGATTTTTTTTTAAATATGGATTGACACTTCCATCTTCGATCTGTGTAGTATCTGTGCAGTCAGCCTAGGATCAAAGTATCACTTTGGTGTAGTATCTGTGTGTTCTATGAAAAATGTTAGTCACACACAAACTCAGCATATTTTTGATATATTGTATTGAAATGGTAATTAAAAAATAGTAATTGTTTCATACTTTAAATCAGAAAAAAATTTTATACTTGGTTAAAAAGAAAATGAGACATGATTTTTTATTAGAAATGTTATGACAAAATGAAAAAAAAAAAAATTGTGATTAAAATTTGCTCTTGTCAAAATATCCTGCTTTAACCTTGATTGCTGTAGCACAAATTTCTGGTATTTATTGGAAAATTTTCTCAAAGTATATGTTTGATAATTGATTCCATTCTTTTTTTCATTGACTCTAAGAGATCTTTTTCACTTTTTTGAAGGTGGCTTCAAACTTTTGAATTGCTTGTGTGTGTGTATATATATATATATATACACACACACACACACACACACATACACACGGACACAGAGGTCAACACCAAGTGATGAGTGTTTTGTGCTTGAACAAGCATGAAAGACTGTTACCACTCGGTGCTGACCTCAGTATCAACTCTTATATTTTCACAAGCTTTATCCTTGAGCATTTTTACCCATAAATAAAGCATACCTTAAAATCATATTTTTATCATATGATAGATACACAATTATTTTTTAATAAACAATTCATGATTTTAACAGATTAAATTTACATGAAAAAAGCATCATCATAATTAGATTTCGAATTCACTTTCGCTTGATTAACAATTCTATGCACAAACAAAAAACAAATGTATATATTATTTTTTCAAGCACTGGAGAATAAGTGAACATGGTTAAACATTACTGACAAAATTTCAATAAGCAAAGAGAGAAAAAAAAGTAAAAGGTATAGGGCAAAATAATACAAGACAAACAAAATATATATATATATATATATATATAAATAAAAGGGACAGAGTTTTGATCAAATTGGGATGAGAATCTGACAATGATAAGATAACGAAAAAAGAGGAAATGTTTATCAATCTAGCATGTTTCACTATTATTAAAGCTTCATCAGAGAATGAAATATGGAGAAAAAGAAACAAGAAATTCTGGTATTTTTACTTTTGTGTTGTTTGATTTTCATTGTCAATCACATTTCACGTCCATTTGACTTTTTAAACCAACGTTGGTATAATTTGTGGCATTGGGAAATTAGGAGAGACAATACCTCCATCCAAAGTTTCAAGAAATTAAAGGATTCTAAGCCTACCTAATAAACTGTAAATATTGTTTTATGTTTATAATATAGTCAAATTCATGTGAAACATGATTAACCAATGAAAATCAAACGCAAAAGTAAAAATATCAGAATATCTTTTTCTTTTTCCCCATATCACATTCTGATGAATCTTTAATAAAAGTGAAACATGTTACATTGATAAAGTTTCCTATTTGTTATCATATATATTATGAAAATGGACTAAGTCCAACAAATATATTTTTGTTTATACGTTATTTTTATACATACAAAGTAAATGCTTTGTTTATAAAAATAGTATTAAGAACATTTACTGGCCTGAATGTCGGAGGACACACATTTTCTTTGAAATTTCTGACGTTCAGGCTGGTAAAAATTGTTAATACTGTTTATTATAAATAGAGCATTTTCTTAAATATTTGTATTTATAAAAATAATGTATAGACAAAACAACTATAAGACAGTAGTAACCAAGTAAAAAGTTAAAAAAATAGGAAGTGTTCACAGGCTACATACTTGATATGTTTATCAACTTTTGACTTCAAGGCAAGAAAGAACAAAAAGGTGTGGCTGAGAATTGTCTTTATTGGTTAAGAAATCCCAGCATGCACCGCTAAGTTTTGTTTATAAATTTGGGGAGGGGAGGTTTTTAGCAGTCATTCCAACTGCAATTACAACCAACAAACATTGAGTTTATATCAACAAAAATATATAGAAAAAAAAATCTTTCTCTCTTAGCAGAAACTTTATTAACTATCACAAATCAGAAATATCGGCAATTTACTTGAATAGTATAATAGGTCAAAATCTAAGCAAAAAAAAAAAAAAAAAAAAAGAAAAGAAAATGAATTTGTGCTTTTTTTTTCTTTTTTTACCTTAGCCTTTGTTTGTTCTGCATCCATTGGATGTTGTGCTCTGAATATTTTCTGAGACTCTTGTTGTGGACTAGAAAGAAAAAAAATATCAATAAATAAAAAGCAAAACACTATCAAGAAATAAAAAAAAGGAAAAGAGAAAAGAAACATAGTCAATGCAAGCAAAAATTTACCTTCAACCTAACAATATATATATATATATATATATATATATATATATATATATATATATATATATACATTTACAATAATGTTCAGCCTATACAAGGCCCAAAAGCCGCTCGAGATAGAGGGTTACAGAGTAATAGGTTAGATGCACGGTTTATGGAGATAATGATTAACCTTAGACTTATATTAATTAAGACTGTAGTGATCAGAGAAGCATCCTCTTTAGAATTGGTTCTGCAAAGTCGCTGTTCATGGAAAGAAGCTGTTTGAGTGGAATTTAATTCTTACCAATGGAATAGGAAGGGAAAGAGGGTGGTTTGCTACAATGTACATAGCATGATGGGTCTTAACCATGAAGGTTAGAACTAGTGGAACTTTTGAATGTAGTTTGTCCGAACATGGAAATAGTGATAGAGTAGCAAGAGGCTTGCAATGTTTCATCTGTAGGAAACTGGTTACAAGGAGGAAAATAATTCACCAACAATTTAATAAGAAAAATACAACCATGAGGATTTAAAGCCAGATTGGGAATGCAAGTGGGTAGTGGAAAGGTCTCAGCACAACCAACACCCAAAAAAACCTGACCAAATGACAAAACATCACATTTTTGTGATGGAATTGTGCCTTAGCCATCCCCCCCTCAAAGTACTCCTCTCAGAACCTCACAAATATCCCATTGTCCCTTCCACTTTTCAAAACAATCTGCAAAGTCCTCTTTTGGGATCATCATTAGTTACACTGACAGATTCTTCTTAATATTGGATTGGAAATACATCGCAAGTTGCAGGAAGACAAAATGTGGGTGGGGGCTGATATACATTTGAAATGGTAAAGAGAAACACATACAATATGCAACACAGGAAAAAATGGCAGAATTCACTAACATGATGAATGCATAAAAAACATACATGGTTCTGAGCGTAGGTACAGTAGAGTAATGATTAGTGGCCCAGATTGAGGAACCAGAGAGTTAAGTTCTAATTCCAGTCATATATATATATATATATATATATATATATATATAAAGATAATGAGAAAGTGGAAAAGTTATGACACATTTTTGCCAAAAGAGCAACTTAAAAAAGCCAAACACAGCATACCCTCTTTGTCTCATTATTCTCACTTTTGTTTTGGATAGTATACATTCTACAAACACACTCATATATATTCTCTAGATACAACGTGTGAAAGCACATGCAATACCCTGCCTTTATCAGCCGCTAACCAAGTTTCAGTGGCTAAGGTGACACTGCCACCCCTGGTGCCACCAGCAGCTTTTGCCACTGGACAAGGTATTGTTTTGTATGTATGTCAGTCTCTTACAATTTCTTTTTACAAGTGCAACTGAAATTTTCAATGTTGTGTTAAAATACACAATGTGCTTGTAGTGACTGTAATTAATAATATAGAAGGTAAACAGATGTCATATCTATATATATATATATATATATATCCTTTGCTGATGGTGGACCCTCATAATGTCTGTTTAAAATGAGAGAGCAAATTCATTTGTTCTCTTCATAGTGGTGACCATCACGGGAATGTAATATTCAAATCTTAGATATATATAGAAGGCACAGTGGAATAATGGTTAGCAACTCTTGGATCGAGGAATTGGAGAGCAGAGTTCATTGCATTCGCTTATGTTGTAATACCCATGAGAATGGTATGAATCCATTTCTTCTCCCCCCCAGCTATGAGTAAAATAGCAGGATAAACTGAGTGTTATATCCGTGGGTGGCAACCAGTCTAGGAGAATGAAACTTTGAATTTGAACCAGATCAATCACATTATCCAAAACTTGTGTATACATACTGCTGGGGACTGCTTGTGAATCCAAATCCTCACTGAAACACCTACTGAGGATTTGCATGTCCGAATGAATGAATGACCTCTGCTATGCTTGGTTAGCTTATGTTTAGATGAGACAACAGGTATAAGAAACATACAGCAAGCTGAAGAAATATTTGAATTTCCTGATAAACTTCTCTTCCCATACAGTAGAACAATGCTCATCTACCTCACACCTGATATAAATCGAATGTAAATTGATATCACTGCCTCTTAGCAAATGCCCAATGTTTCCTAGTTCTTTTACTTACCCACAAAGAGCTTTCCACCTTGCAAAGAAGGTACTAGAGTCCATTTCTACAGATTCTATAAACTTGTTCACTGTCACAGGGAGCTTCAGACTAATTTTTTGCTGGGCACCACTGTACCTGTTGACAAAAGAAAACAATTGCAATAAAAACCAAAAGATTCAATAACATAGACATATTTGTTCATGTATTCAAGTTGAAAATAAAATCCAGTATCTTGCTTTGCCAGGATAATTTGAAAGTTGTTTGATTATACAAACCATAGTTATGTATGTAACTTAGTGTTTTGATCTTTCCTCTCATGAATATTGACTGAGAAAGAAAGACCTATTCCTTGTTTGGCTATAACATCAGTTGTTCTTTGATTATATAAATCATACTTATGCATCTAACTTAGTATTTTGATCTTTCCTCTTTCCTTTCAGGAATATTTGTGTGATTATAAGATGCTTATAAAAATGAAGGCATAAATGTCAAGTAAGCCAGTTCACTCATTCTCAGTCAGGGAATCCTACCCTCAAAGATTTTGCTTGTCCTAGATGATCAACAATTAAATTCTTTGAATTGTAATTGAAAAAAATTCTTTACCTGACAACATGAGAAATGGCAGCATAGGTCAACTTATACAATAATCATTTTACCTACATTAACTCTGTAAAGTTTCCAAATTTTGATCAGTTGGTTTCACATAGTCTGACCAAATGTCAATTTAATCTGTAAGTTAATGTTGGTTAAAAAAAACAAGACCACCTACTAAGCCAGGTTTGGAAAGAATAGTTACTAGTGATGAAAAGTGGGCCTTTTATAATCATTTAATAAAAGACAAAGGTTACAATTTAAAGAAAAGCCGATGATTGTAGTAGAAACCAGAAAGACACCCCGCAGAGGTAATACTCTGAATTTGGTAGACTAAGAAAGGTGTTTGTCTATTATGAAGTGTTGAACTATAATGAAAGTCAATATTCAAAAGATACATTTACTAACTGGAAAGCATTAGTTTTGTTTGAAAAAAAAAAAAAGTGCGTTGGAAAGTTATTTTCGTATGTTAGCTGAAGACCTCATGTTGCTAAAAATATGCAGGAAAAGATTTTAGAAGTTTTTACCTCATCCACCCTACTTTCTTAACTTTCTTCTATTGGATTCTCACCTTTTCAAATCATTACCTGGGCAGGAAATGCTACATTTATGAAGAGGTTAAAAAAAAAAAAAAAAAAAAAGAAGTTTATGCCTGAAGCTTTAGTAACTTGCCTATTCAATCGGACAATGTCATTGAAAATGAAGGACACTATTACACTAAGTGAACTTGTAATTGGTCATTTAATGGAAGTTCAATTATATTTGTCAAGTAAAAAATGACAGAATTTTCTTTCCAACTGAATAAATTAGCTATAGTCATATTTATGTAAAAATGTCATAAGAAACCGAGTTAAAAACAATAACAATACCAACTTACAGGAATTTTATATGAATGATTGGTGAATCTGAAAACTCTTGAACAGCTTCTATGTTGAAGATCTGTTGTACCTGAGCTCCACCTTCAATCACGGTACCAACTGGTTTCGGCTGAATATTCAACTGTAGTCAAGATTAAGGAAATCAACAACTTTGTAAGAAAAGAAAAATGTTAATACACAAAAGACACAGGGGTAGATATTCAAATAATGAGGGCTCTAATAACTGAGATTACTTTTTTCACTTTAAGTAAGGTGCTAAAGCCACTGGGTTGGGGGGGGCGTTACAGGGAATTAATGAGAATGTAAAGACTTTAGTGAGGAGAAGGACAACAATGGAACAGGATTCAGGAAGACAAAAGATGGTGATTGGCGCTAGATTTAAATTTTTGAAGATTGTAGGTAGCAAGGAAGCAAGAAATCAGAAGGGAGTTTCACATGTGAAAAGTGCAAGAAATTATTAGAATAGAACATGTGGTTGCATCTAGCTAGCTCAGTAGTAAAACACTGAAACAGAGTTGTCAATCTAATAGCGTGCTTAAATTCATGCAGCCGAGGCACTCATTAGAACAATTGCACACGGGCACTGCACTGAAATGATGTTGGGCAGGGCACTGCACTGAAACGATGTTGGGCAGGGCACTGCACTGCAACGATGTTGGGCAGGGCACACGGGCACTGCACTGAAACGATGTTGGGCAGAGCACACAGGCATTACTGTTTCTAGATACAGGGCCAGGAGTCATTTTCTTTTAATGCTAGAATGTATATTCATATATTTAATAATAAATAGGACTTAAGTATGTTGCTATTTAGCAAAGTATTTGCAAACTACTTGGTAATAATTTATCACTTTTTTTTTTTTTTACAGTGATAAAAACATTAAAAAATGGCTCATTTTAAATTAGCTTCATATGTGGTACTTAATATATCTGGTGGGAAGTAAAGTTCTTGTGGTTTCTAAATAAATTGAATGTTCTACAAGCCACAACAACTTTCTACATATTACAGAATTGGCTTTAGTTAGACATATGAAAAAAAAAAAAATTAATTAAGATGTAAATTATTTTTTGTAAAATATTTAAATATTATTTTATTTTTTAAATAAAAAAATTCATTTGTAAATATTTCTAAAATAAACATAAGACATGGTGAATTTGACCTTTAAAAACAAACTTCAAACAAAAGAAAAACAGGATATGATTGTCAAGTGGTGCGGGACATTCTACTTCCACAGAGAAGGCTGTGAAATGGAATGACGTTTTGTTGCCATAGAACATTCCTAATCGACACAGGTTTTGTCGGTATTCAGATTTAACACCAATTTGCAAAATGTCATTCTCGAAAAGCACTCCATTGTTTTTGCACACAAACCTACAAAGAGAGAAAAAAAAAAAAATCTTTTAGCAAACATTTTTCATAAACAATCAGAAACATCTTCACTCTTATACATACAGCAAATTTTATCAAATTAAAAATCATTATTGAAGAAGATAATTTTGCTTTGAATTTTTCTGATAATTTCTTTGAGCCTTCTTTGAATTATTGTTCTTGTCTTTGAATTTTGCATGCGTTATTATAGAAACAATGTTCATGTCAAGTATGCTCTGCACATCTTCAGGTGCCCTAGTTGATATATGTTGAATGTGTCATTTTGTCCCTGTGAAGCAGTTTCTTGTTCATTCCAGATGAACTCCGGCACAGAAGTCAGGAGCTGACAGTCACAATTTATTAATATCTATATCCTTTCTGTCACTATCTCAAAGGACACTGGTGGTATGATGTTTGAATTTTAAATCCAACTTTAAATGGAAGATTTGATTATCATGTCATGTTATCAGCATGATGTTTCAATCAAGTAGCCTCTTGTCATCTTCAGGTGTTCATTGTTTGGCTGATAGGGGATATCTTACATGTATCAAATATAAATAAAATCCCTGAATAAGGTTGAAAAATAATATAGTGTTTAGTATGAACGAGCAAGAAATAGCTTTACAGGAACAAAATAGCATATTAATCGACAAATACAAAACATCCTATATCAGCCAAAACAAAACATCTGATGATGGCCAGAGGGTACTTAGTTAAAACGTCAGGTCTATACTAATATCTATAATAGAGATCAATAGTTCAAATAAATATAGAAAACCAAAATTTGAGCATAGGGAATTTTCAGACAAGAATAACTGTCATGTTTATATGTTGAAATGGATTTATTTTATATCTTTGTAACTTTCGTATATCTTACACAATCATTTTGAATATAATTTAAATCATATACTATACAATTCAAAAATCAACCCATAAAGCGTACGATTCAAAAATCAACCCATAAAGCGTACGATTCAAAAAATCAAACCATAAAGCATACGATTCAAAAAATCAAACCATAAACTTTATAGTATAATAGTAATCTGTAGCATCACAACTTTCAATTAAAAATCTTAATGAAATTACTATCTTAACAGCAAAAGAAAAAGTTTGAATGCATGTATCTAACATAATGCTTAATATTCAGTTATCATGTTAAATATCTACTGACAAAGATAAGTCAAATATTAGAAAAATTATGAAAAAAAATACAGGAAAAAATTCCTGTATTTTTTTTTTCGTACCAACAAATATTTTATTGAATTTGCTTAAATGAGCTGCATTTAATGCTAGATACACTTAACAAGATCCATTTCATAATCAATACCTGGAATAATCATATTGCCAAAAAAATTAAATCAAATAAATAGATGAACACAGAAAAGCATACTTTTTATAACTTTCATCTGCTCCCATAGTGAGTCCAGAAGACTCTAAGCCATTGGAAGAGGCAGGAGGAAAATTATCAGCAAATACATCAACAAGCAAGCCACTGGCTGTTGTTGGTTTACTTCCTAAAGTCGTCCCCAGACCCAAAAGGTCGACAGAGGCACCAGTGTTACTTGGAGTAGAATGCTGAAATTAAGAGAGAGAAAAAAAAAAAAGGCGTGTAAAATCATAATAAAAAGGTGAAGGAGGAAAATAAATTAAAAACCTTCACTGTCTCAACCACACAAACAAATGAACAAAAGAATTATGTACAAAGAAAAAAAAATTTCTATTCCTTGCAGAGGACTTTCTGATATACCTGAATGGACATCTTATTTCTCAATATTCTGGTACTAAGAGAATGTTCTAGTGATTGAAACAAAAGATCAGCTAATAAAAAATATATATATATATATATATATATATATATATATTTCCAGCCAACTGATTAATTTCTCCTTGTCTTGTTTGTTTGAGTGAGACTATCTTTTATGAATAAGTTTGCCAAAGTAATGAATTTCTAACAATCATATGACAACCTTGTTTTATTGGCAATCAAAGGCCATTGTGATGGTTTCTCCAGGATACAGGAGCTCATAAGTGGATGATATCTATGTTCCCTATTTTTTATATATATATATATATATATATGTATATATGTATAAATTGTGATCAAATATGGATTGGAATCCAACCTTGATAAGGAACAAACAAATGTTTATAAGTCTAACATGTTTCACTTTTATTAAAGCTTTATCAAAGAAACTTCAATAAAAGCAAAACATTTCCTGTTTGTTCCTTATCCTATCATGTTTACACCAAATTTCAGATAACTAAAAATATACCTGTAAAAGGACTATGAATAAAGAGAAAAAGGAAAACTTATCTTAACCAACACGTTTTGTTCTTTTAGGATAAAACGTGTTGGCTAAAATAAGTTTTCCTTTGATATATATATATATATATATATATATATATATATATATATGTGTGTGTGTGAAAATCTTTTATATATGAAGTCCTGGTTTCAGTGTTGTCATTAATTTACCATAAGGCAATAGCCAATGCATTTTAGCAATTAACATACACAATTAACTTTTTAGTCATCAATGAATAAAATAACTTTCATTTCTGATCTCAACAGGCTTTTGCAATTGGCTCACCAGAAGTTCTTTCCAATTTCCAAAATTGAGTTGTGTTCCTTTTTTTTCATTTTTTTTCCTACTTTATACTCTTTGAGAACCTTTTATTTTGTTTTTAAGCGTCAATTTGTTTACAATTAAAATCTATTTTGTGTTACAATTTTCCCTCATTCTCTATTTACAAGTGTGTCATTGAGTATTTTGTTCTATTCACCAACGTTCACCTTTTTGATAAAGTGATGGCTGAAAGGGTCTCCTAAAGGTAAAATGACTTCCTCTCTATTTAAGTAGATATATATATATATATATATATATATATATATATATATATATATATTACTTACCTTTTACCCATATTCTTCCAGGCCATAATTTAATGTTGTAACTACATATCATATTTGGGATAGAAAACATTGAAATTATCAGCATAGATTGAATGGTTTATTTTTTATGTTTGGAAAGCATTTTGCAAATATCAAAATCATTTGTGAAGCTTAATTTACAAACCTGTGACGAAGGAGGTGAGCTTGCATGTTCCACACTGTTGCTGATCTGTGCTTGTGGTATATGCTTATGTTCCTTCGTCTCAGCTGTTTCAGGAACACTTGAAGGTTTCTTCTTCTTCAACTTAGCCAAAATAGAAGATTCCCGTTCAGGGAATGGTGGCATTTCCTCCAAAACAGTTGCCTGTAGACAAAGCAAAATACTATACACAAAAGGGCTTGAATGATGGCAATTGCAATAAATGCACCATTTTTCAAACACACAGTATCAAACGATGGAAACTGAGTAAGACAATTGCCAAAAGAATCCAATTACCATAAATGAAATAAAATGACATCATCTGCTGAATTATTACCAAATTATTAAGAGAAATGTTTATAAGATGGGACTTAGGAAGAAAGAAGTGTTTAAATGTCTCCTACCAATACCTCATAAATAACGGACTATTCCGTGTAGATTAATATAGGAAATTTTAGTGCCTATTTTGCATTGTATAAAACATTGATTGGAAATTGTTGGAATTGTTGGATTTTAATGAAAAAAATCAGCAATTCTTTTTTGAAAAACAGGACTCCAAGTTACTGCAAAATCTGCTCTGAATTGTAAAATAAAAAGTGCAGTAAAACTAAGACATTATTTTTGATGAATAATGAATTTTTAAATTTTTTTTCATTTTTTTTAAATTTTAACTATTTATAAAATTTTAAATCTTAAAATTTTTGTAGATAAGTATGTTCATACATGACATTATCATTAAAAAGTCACATGTTTTAAGAGTTGTTCTCCCACATGATAAAAATCCCTTAAAAAATTTACATCATCTTTGCTTATCCATCTGAAATTCTTATTTTTCTATTTGCATGTCATTTTGAAACTTCCTTTCAAAATTTTAAAGTGTTATTTTTACTTTTAACTCCTATTTCATAAAAAATAATTTGTTTTTATCTTTTTTATGTTAATTCTTTTTTGTGAGAGTAGTACTTACATAATCAGTTGAAAATTAATTAAAATGTTTGAAAGCAACCTTTAATTTTAAGACAATATTGACTGAATGTTATTTTAAATATTGTCAAAATGTTTTAGCAATTGTTTATATATAGTTTATTAACTATTAGTATTAAGAATAAAGAACATTTTAATTAGTAATGTTCTACTTTAAGAAATGTTATCAAAATTTCTTAAAGCAGAATATTTTTTAACAATGGGTAGCAAGTGCCTAATTCTAAGTCAATAGAGTTTACTGACTTAGAATTAAGCACTTGGCTTATTAAATTTTAAATTAGCTAATAAATTTAGTTTATTTTAAATAATTTTTATTATAATTCTGCTTGTGTTAGATTAATCTGGCACAAGGCCATGGAAATTAGTCAGCCACTGATAATCAAACTCACTACACTTCACCATTACTCCTTGTGATGAGTGAACTAAAATTCATCTTATGTTACATCGTTCTGAAAAAAATGGTATTTATAATGTTACTGCACCAATTTGTCATGTATTTAACTAGTTTATAATACAAACTATGTTGTAAGAAATTAGAACCTTTTGTAAATTAAAATCACATCTATGTTGTACCTCTGAGAGTGAAACAGAAAGAGAGAGGAGAGAGAGTAAATAGACAAAAGAGAGTGTGAAACAGAGATGAAGCGTTAGAGTGGTCATTTTAGCTAAAGATAGTTGTTTGTAGTGAGGGGTTAAATAATGTTTCATCACCTGACGATCTCTTATGGACAAATTTGACTCCGAACTGCAAGTGAACTTTTGAAATTAAAAATCTTATTTTTTTTTTATTGTCTTCTTGAATTTATTACAGATGGAGAGATCGCAGACTGTTTTGAGTGTCAAAGAGGGAAACACAAAGAAGAAAAGACTTAAAGAGTAAAACAGAGAGAAAGAGAGGGTGTATGTGGATAGACAGAAAGAGTGCGACAAGAGAGGAAGTGTGAGAGTGGTCATTTTAGCTAAAAGACAGTTGTTTGTAGTGAGGGGTTAAATAAATGTTTTGTGACTTAATGGATCTGTTAATGTGTTAAGAAAATTTCTTTTATACTAAGAGAAGGACTACTTTGAATTTAAAACTGAAAAATGTTATGAGAAACCATTCTGAAGAAAACCTGGCAATCTACATACAATAAAGAAAAGGAATCTGTAGAGAAATACAAACTCATACATCTTGAAGGGAGATAGTATTTAACAGCAGCAGCAGCAAAAAACAAATTAAAAAAAAAATTAAAAACAAAAAAAATTAAAAACAAAAAAAATTAAAAACAAAAAAAATTAAAAACATCAACAACTTACAAGAACATCAGCTGTGGCCACAGTACTAAGTTGTAAATATTCCATTGATCGTTGCTGGATTTCTACATCTGGATTTTTCAAATTATTTCCACTCTTCAAAACCTGATTAAAAAAAAAAAAAGGTTTTATGGAAAACAAAATCAATTCTTTTATTTTAGTCCCTCCTTATATATGAGGAAATATGAAGGTTAATTCTTAGAATTGATTGAATGAAGGATGTAAGAATACTGAAATATCTGCAAAGAAATAGTTGTGGATAAACAGAACAGAGAAAATGGAAAAAAAAAACAAACAAACAAAAAAAAAAAACCCAAAAAACAGAGAAAATGGAAAAAAAAAAACAAACAAAAAAAAAAAAAAAAAAAAAAAAAAAAACAGAAAAAAAAAAAAAAAAAAACAAAAAAAAATAACAGAGAAAATGGAAAAAAAAAAAACAAACAAACAAAAAAACGGAACAGAGAAGAAAATGGAAAAACAGAACAAAAAACATAAAAGAAAAAGATGAAGAAAAACAGATAGGGGGAGAGAAAACAGAAAAGAGAAAAAGAAGGGGGAAGGGGGAAGAGAAAGGGGGTAAGAGGGGAAGGGGGAGAGAAAAGTGGGGGAAAGAGGAAAAAATAGGAAAAGGAGGGGAGAGGAAAAAGGGGAAAAAAGGAAAAGGATTGGGAAAAAAGAGAAAAGGAGGGGAAAAAAGAAAAATAAACAGAAAAGGAAAAATAAACAGAAAAGGAAAAATAAACAGAAAAGGAAAAATAAACAGAAAAGGAAAAATAAACAGAAATGGAAAAAAAACAAAAAAAAACAAAAAAAAAACAGAGACAATGGAAAAAAACAACAAACAAAAAAAATAACGGAACAGAGAAGAAAATGGAAAAAACAGAGGAAAAAAAATAAAAGAAAAAGATGAAGAAAACAGATAGGGGGAGGGAAAAAGGGGGGAAAAAGAGAAAAGGAGGAAAAAAAGAAAAATAAACAGAAATGGAAAAATAAACAGGAATGGAAAAAAAAACAACAGGAATGAAAAAAAAACAAAAAAAAACAACAGGAATTGTCATTTGATACCATATATATATATATATATATATATATATATATATATATATATATATATATATATGTGTGTGTGTGTGTGGAAAGTGCTCAATATCTGTGCTAGAGCTAACATGTGGTTATATGGAGAGTTGTTTGTGACCTTAGCTTTTGCAATCTTCAGACAGATTGTTACCTTAAGTTTTATGCTTTCACAAACAACTCTCTATGCAACTTATATATATATATATATATATATATATATATATATATATATATATATATATATATATATATATAGGATCAATGCAAATAAAATGTCATTTAGATGACTGATGATATATATTAAGCACTTCAACTTTGTAGACAAACTTTTCCATAATTGTACACTTCAGGAGGTTTCAGTAATTGACTGCCATTTTACTCATTTTTCTCTATCGTTATACTAAGTTTGATGTAATTAATTTATTTGCTAGTTTGGATGCTCTGATTATTGGTGTTAAGTTGATTTTTTTCTCTTTTTCTGTGTGCATATATATATATATATATATATATATACATACATACATACATACATCGACAGTAGGCAATGTGAGTTTTGTAAAAACGTAAGTCTATTCATAAGAATAGAAATATTGATAAAAATTAAAACAAAGCTAGAAAAATATGAAAGAAGTAAAGGCAGTGATAAAATAATTATGAGAAATTAAATTTGCTAATCAAGTGAAAAAGACAGAGATGAGAAAGAAGCAATGATAATGTCATTCGTAAGAGGTTTTTTTTTTATTTTTTTCTCTTTTTGTGAGCTTCCAAAGAACACTTACTTATGGAACACATCATTATCAACAATACCACAGTAGAAAAGATAAAACACAAGAGATTAAAGGAAAGATTCTTACCTCCTGTATGGATGACTTAATTTCAGGAAAGAGGTTAACAAATTTAATATAAGTTGATAATAGCAGGCCTCTTGTTGCAGCCCCACACAGATGATATTTGGAATGGAGCAATTCAAACTGTACAATAGGACTGATGGAAAAAAAAATAAAAAAGTTATTAGTTAAATGAAAAACACCAAAAAAATAAATTTAATAATATCTACATTCAAACTAATGTCTTTTTCTTTGTTGTTATTATCACAAAATTTCGGCTATTGTACCCTACAGCCTTCTTCAGGTGTCTATCAATCTAGGTAAATGTCATGGAATTTTGAACTCAACTTTTTATTTAATAAATGGAGGTAGATTGTTCTCATTCCAGTATGTACCTGAAGAGGGTAGGAAGACACAATGGTCGAAATATGATAATAATAAAGATGAGAAAATTATATTTTAATTTATTCAAACTCATTTCCTTCATATTCCATTGGTAAAGATATAACTTCCCACTCAAGCAGCTTCTTCCCACAAATCACTACTTCATGGTAATCGACTCTCAAGAAGATGCTTCCCCAATCACTACAATCTTAAACCTGTTCAAGTCTAGACTTAACCATTATCTTCCTGATATATGACCATAAACTGTGCCTCTTACTCTGTAACCCTCTATCTTGAGTACCTCTTAGAGCCTTGTACATGGTGAAAAATCATTGCAAAAAAAAAAAAATTATTCTCATCTTGATTATCCTAGATATGATAGAACCCAACATTTCAATCATGTACCCTCTAGATGTCATCAGGTGTCCATAAGACATCTGTTGATTATTGTGCTAATGCTTGTTGAACCAGTGCATATTATTTCACTGCCTGATCCAGGGATTGAACTCATGACCACAACAGTAACACATGTTTAACCAACTACTATATCCCCAAACATTGTTAGCATTGAATGCAAGCCTACAGGTAGTGCTCATAGAGTTTGCACCAGTGATGGAGACCTGCTTTTTGTGCAGTAGCAATTCTGAAACCCATTAGCAACATCTAACTGTACTCACATCCACTGTTTGGTTTCCATAAACATTCAATAAGTGTCAATGAACCTCAATAGATGAAATTTTTGACACAACTTTGCTTTGTATGTATTTTCATATCAGACATCATTTTGATAGACTGCTATGTGTAACAAGATAAAGAAAAAATATTAGCAAGAAGGTTTAACTTCTGTTATCCCATTAACATCTGCGTTTAACATCGTAAAAAATCAATAGATTTTTTTTTTTTGGTACACATCATACTTATTTGGCACAGGAATCATTTAAAGAAACAAACTTGGTATGAGGCATACTTCACACTGATTTGGCACAGGAATCATTTAATTTAAAGTAATAATAAGTTTTTTTCAAATGAATACTGCATTAACAATTTTTGGGAGATGATGTTTTCAAATACAACTTCTACTATTTAGCTGGGGTGGGGAGAGAAGTGATCAATTCATAACTTTCCCTAAGGTATTTATGCAGAAGTGAATGTAAATAATTCAACTGGAATTCCAAACTCGGATTTCTCATATTACACTGCTTGTGCAACCACATAGGAAAAGGAAAAGCCTTCCTTCCGGAGTGACTTGTGTTAAGCAAATGCAATAAACAATTTAAGCTTTGAGCATTGAACAACAATTTTTTTTTACTGTATCCTCATGTAATAAAAATAAGAACTTTATTATTAATAAGTTAAATTTTTATTGTCTAATAAATAAAAAAAAAAATTATTCCTCTTCCAGTGCTAAAGGTGACAATCCTCAATTTTGAGATTACGTACCTGGATCGAGGATCTCCGGCAATAAGATTTCCAAATTCTCCAAGAATGTATCCACCAACCTTGACCATATTTTCATGACAAGCTGGAGCCTGCAGAGCCTGTCAGAAAGACAGCAAACATTTATTCTCTAATTTGGTTTTCATGATAGCAATACAAAAAAAGAAGTGATTTGCATATGTAATATTAAACTAAAAGACAAGGCATCAATTCATCACATAATTTAATCAAATATCCAAAAGGCAATGTACAGGTTGTATAACAATAGTCAATCCAAGTCCAAATTCCAGGCTGCTCTGCTGCACCCACTCTTGCATTGATGCTCTTGGGAAAAGGCACAAATACCTCTTCACCCCTTACCTAGGAGTTAAATAGTAGGGTAAACTGGGCTTTTCTAGCTTTGGCTGGCCACCAATCTATAAGATAGGAAAATCTGACATAAGATATTGGAACTATTTACACTATTTATATTTTAATTTATTTGTTTAAACGTTATTTTAAATGGATACTCATATTTGAGTAGATGCTCTGTTTTTATTTATATATTAAACAGTATATTTATTTATTTACATCTACTGGCCTGAATATTCAAAAAATCTTGTTAGAAAAATATGCATCCTGCCAGAGGATGTATATTTTTCTAACAAGATTTCTCGAATATTCAGGCCAATAGATGTAAATAAACAGTTTAATAAACAAATAAAAACAATGGATGGAACATATACAAATCTACTCAGAAAAATCCAGAACATCAGTTGACGATTCCATGGAATGCTTAACACAATTTACAGAGAACTGAGACCAATCTCTCTTAAGCTCAAAGAAAAACGATTACAGTTTGCCGGCCACTGCCACTGAGCAGAGAGGGAGAATTGTCTCATTCTTACTCCTATGGCACCCTTCTGGAAGTGTCTTCTCATGAAAGTTGACTTTATCAGACACCATAGCTTGATCTCAGGGTTGGAGATTGGGGATGGCAATGCAGGACCAAGCAGTGAGGAAAGGGATTCTTAATAGAGTTCTGACCAACCACAGGGTGGTCGAGGAATGATGAACCGATTTCTTTTTTTTTTTTTTTTTTTGAATTACAGATTTTTTTGTAACATTGCACTCATTATTTTCCCCTGTCTAGCATCGTTGCATTGACAACTCTGCCACCGAGATGAATGGTGAGGGGTTAATGGTAATGACAACTTCAGCTGTTTTCCTTATATGGAAATATCTGGTATTGACCAAGCAACCAGTGCTACTGTTGGTTGAAATTTATAAAATCTCTATTAAAACATTTTTTCAGAAAAACAAGTTTCTCAAGTCCACTAACTTATTACTCTTTCTAGTACTGAAGGGAGTTTCCTTCCTAACCTTTTGTTATTGGTAGTGTGGAAAGACAGCATGTTGATTATATTAAGACTTTCCCTTTTAGTTATATGTGCTATCCATTTTAGTAGTTGCTGCTGTTGGAAGTCTTCAAGTGATGTGGTTTTTGTCATTTGTTAATATTCTTTATTTCTTTATTATGTAGTACCAGCCAATATTTGATGAGGAATGGTCTTCTTTAAGGTCTAGAGCATGTATAGATTTATTCCCGTCATTGATGCAAAAAAAAAAAAAAGAATTTGCATCACAGTTATTTTCACTATAAATTTGTATCCTGTTAAATTTGCTATAACCACCCTCTGACATTCCTTGAATATTAAATTTTTAATTTCACTATATATTAAAGAGTGGGAAAAGAAGTGATTAAATATTACAGAAATTTAAAAGATGCATTTTTAAAAAGAAATACAAGAAAGCCATGGAGATGATTTGTAAAATCATTTGGAAGACTGAGTAAACTTGATCTTCAAGTGAAAGCTAAAACTGGTATATGCATTCCCAGCCTTAAAGACTTTACTACTTGGTAGTAGTATAGTACCAATAAGCAATAGGATTAAAATTAAGAGAATCATTTTTAATGTTCTGAAGGTAAGAGGAAGAAAAATAAGAGAAGAGAAAAATTGTATTGGTCGCTTCATTTTTCTTAAAACCATGTAAGGTTGCAATGAAAGCTCTTACCTCAAAAACAGTCTTTGCTGCATATCCTTGTACATCATCTCTGTTGATAACAATCTGAATGACACGATACCATACCTAAACAAAGGGAGAGAAGCAAGGATAGAAAAGATCAATGGGGAAAAACAACAACAGATATATATTTACACATTTTGAGAGAGTGAAACAATAAAAGCAACAGATAAAATTGACAGCAATGTTTAGAAAAATCCAGAACAGAAGAATCATGTCAACCAAAAATCAAATGAAGCGTCATTCTTATATAAGAATTTCCATCTGGTGACTGATAGCTGCATGAAACTCAGTTATGGAATTAATTTGTAGAAGCGCCTGGCATTTCTTTGCTTGTATATACAAGCTTTGTCTTTGGACATTAAGAACTTAGCCTGTTACCATTGTAAGCATCTATAAACTTTTTTTTATTTTATATATATATAAATATATATATATATATATATATATAAAATATATATATATATATAAAATATATTATATATATATATATATATATATATATATATATATATATACATACATAAAATATATATATATATATAAAATATATATCCTTCACCGATAACACAAATCAGTTTCACAACGTGATCTTACAAGGAAAATTGCGTTGTACATGAAACTGAGCTGTGCAATCGGTGATGGATAACATGTAAATTTATTAATATATACTTATTAGCACTGTTGAATTACACTGGGTACCTATATATATATACACACACACACACACACGACATCATACCAGAGCCATATATAATATCACTGATCATCGCAAAACTAATAATAGCACAAAGCAGTATCTGAGCTAATAGAGAAAAACAAAAAACACATCTACTTGGAGAGGACCAACTTAAAATCTAACAGACACCAATGGCACTTATATAGTGCTTTAAATGTAATTTTTAGTGGATACCCATATTTGAGTAGATGCTCTGACATATTCTAACTGACTTGGATTTAACGACAGCTTCTCCTGCAGAGGGGGGGGGATGCAGATTTGAATCCTGTTGAAGAGTGCTTTTTTTTCTTTTAAGATTTCTTGAATATTCAAGCCAATAGACAAAATAAAATACTGTTTAAAAAATAAAAGTGATCATCTACTCAAATATGTTTAGGCACTAAAAATAATGTTAAAAGTCCTAAACATATGTTCCATTAATAAACAAAAATCCATTATTTCTTTAGAAATATTATTTATATATATATATATATATATATATATATATATATATATATATATACAAAACACTTTCTGGTTGTTAAATCTGAGACAGTCAATGAAATCCTGGTGCATTTTTCTTACAGGTTTGTCTTGCATGTCAACCTGAAGAAGCCAATTAGACATATGTTTATATGGACATTTTACCTTGTTTTGGTGTGAGGAAGCCACCCCCAAAGTTTGTAAAATATTTTGAAAAGTTTTTTTTTTGCGATGGGTAAATTATCACCATTTTATATTTTTAATTTTGCGCATGCGCATCGTTTGTTTTTGATCTTATTGACTGCCCCATATAGTACGGTCAGTTGGGCACCATCTGTGAAAAAAATTTGGGTTTTATTTACCAAAATTACCCCAAAATTTACTGTGAAAATGAGATGTTAGTCATCAGTTTTCATTTTTGCATAATTTAGATGAGGATTTATCGATCGCAACCTGTATATATACTTTTCCTTTTATTTTATATATATATAAAAACATTCAAGCATGTTCGGTTAAATAATTTAGATGCATTATGCTTATTTTAGTTTTAATCCTTTCAAGTCCATGAATTAATTTCTTGGTGGCTATAGGGAACTGACTAAGAAAAGATGGTGTTGCATTTCTGACTTGTAAAAAAAAAAAAAAAAAAAAGAGGTTACCTCCCTTGTACAGAGATTAAAAAAAAAAAAAAATATTTTTAATTTATGGTGTTAACATATAACACATCCTTAGATATGCAACCCCTGAAGATGGTCTCAGATGAGATTGAAAGTACTTGGGAAAATAAAAATGATTTGATTCTATACAAGTCAGAAATGCAACACAGCCTTTTCTTAATTTTCTACAGCCATCAAGAAATTAATTTGTGGATTTAAAAGGATTAAAACTAAAATAAATAGACATGATATGTCTAAATTATTTAACTGAACATGCTTGAATGAAAATATGCTGCTTAAATATACATATATAGACATGTATGTATTTTTAAAGTATATAAACATATATATAATTCTCAAAACAGAAGAAACTAAGAGGAAAAATGACAGGTAATTTTTACAAAGTAATTCATTTACAAGAGTGTTGAGAAGTTTTCAGCCCAATCCATTATCCCCCCAGAAGCAGTATTCTGATGATTTTTGATCATTAAAATTGATTTTGGGAAGTGAATTGAGCCAAGAGTTTTTCAGTACACCTCACATAGTTTATTTATCACTGATAAAAAAGTAAACAACATTTGATTGCCTTTGCCAAAAGTCTGGCAACAGCCATAATCAGAAAATCTCTCCAAATATTTTAGGAGGATTTATACAAGATTATGTAAAAAATTTTTTTCATATACCACAAACTCATAAAAAAATCAATTTATGCCATTATAATTTTTTAGAGAGAGAGAGAGAGGAAAAATATCAGTGAATGAATCTGGTCCTCAAAATCTATAGAAAAGCCAGAATTAGAACACTTGGATTTGATAGCCATTGTATTTGCTTATGCATTTAGAGTAAAAAACCTGAAAATAGTTGCAACTGTTAACACACTAGAGGTCAATTATGAAATCCGATTCCAAACGCTGACTTTATAATAACCAACTTAGGCAATCATAATGGTAATATTAGCCATTCCCTTCCAAGGAAACATTTGGCATTCATTGATTGAGCAGCCAGTACTACTTTTGGTTGAAATTTATAAAATCTTTCTCTTAAAACAATTTTCCAGGAAAATAGGTTTCCTAAGTCCAGTAGCTGTTATCACTCTTTCCAGTATTGATGGGAGGCTCCTCCCTAACCTTTTATTTCAAGTAGTGTGAAATATCAACATCTTGATTATGCCATTATTTTCTGAGGTACATGTGCTATCCATTTTATTTGTTGCTGTTATTGGTAGTCCACAAGTGATGCGGATTCTGTTATTTGGTACATTTATTTGTGAATCTGTTGCACCAATCCAAAATGTTCAAAGAAGGATAATCTCTGTCAAGACCCTCAGGCTTCATTTGTTCATAGCCTTTTTTAACCATCGAAATTTAAAATTTTTGAGCTGATTTATAGCTTCACTTAACATTGATTTCACACTGAAAGTATCATAGCGAATAAACTCATTGGCACCGGCAAATGAAAATCTATCAGAAAATGTCAAGAACAAGATCATAAACTTTTCTCTATCATACATTGACTTTATGAATTTAAGCACAATGCTAGATTGGCAGCTAGGTCTCATCTTTTTACTGTTGAAATGGTTAGATGTAACCATAAGTTCTATGCTAACATTTTCTTCTATCACACCACTCAGTTTTGGTATTCTCTTCAAGCTTCTAGCCTCCCAGTCAGCTTTGATGCTAAAAAATTTAAAGGCAATGTCAACCGTTATCTAATGCCTTCTTAATTTTTGTTCTTTTTATGTTCTCTCTCCTTAATAATGTTTCTTTTCTCATTCTCTAACAATCAGTAACCCCTTGCGTCTTAGTGGCTTTATTGCCTTGCTTGGAGTGAAATGATTAGAAAAATAAAATGAAAACCTCAAAGTCAGCATCATAAAAACAGTCAATGTACTAAACACTGATTTGCACTATCTGGAAAATAAATATTGTGTTTTGAGTTTTCTGGAATAAAATGAATAATTAGTATAGACTGGAATGATAATTTCATATCTCAAATCAAGATAGAAAGTTTTTAGTATTTTTCTGATGATATAGAACTAATTGACCTCAAAGAAATCTGTTAGATTGATAACTAACTTTTAGGTAAGGCTGAGAAGAGATTTCCAGAGAAAAGAAGAGCCTACACATCTGTTAGTTTTCATTCCAGATGAATTGTTATGTATGAACAATTGCCTTCCAATACAATTTTCTCAACCAAAGAAATCAGTTTTTAAAATGCTGACTAAAGCAGATAAAAACACATCATGTTCAAGAATAAAATTCAGGGAGAGACAAGAGCAAGTAATGTTATTGAGACTTACCTCTTCACTGACGTAATCTCCAGCAATTCTAATCAAATTAAGGATGACATCAACATACCAAGTGTAGTCTACTGCATACTTCTCCGCAAGTATAGCGACTTTCAGGACCTTAAACAAAGCAGAATTTACTCAGAAAAGACAAAAAGAGATTTTTATATATTTAAAAAAAAAAAAAAATCCATTTAGTGGAAATACATGTTAGAATAGACATTCATTTTTTTTAAATAATTAAAAATGTGGATCCACTAAAAGTAACGTTTATAGTAATAAGAAATGTTGGATTATAAATAAAACTTCATTAATTCCTTAGAAATTCAGTATGGAAATTGTGGGTTACCCGTCACTTAGTTTTGCCAAGACGTTAGGTGGTGCTATTAAGCAGCTATAAATCCAGCATACTTCGAGTCTTTCTTTTCCTTCTAGCATGTGATAGAAGGGACAACACTAACCAGGACCCTCCCAGGCAAGCGGATATCTTTCCCCTTAGTGACTGAACTTTTTCACCCAGATAACTGCTCACTTTTAATGTATTCTTTCTTTACATGCATACTAGTGTATTTTCTCTCCTTTGTTACTTAGTTATATAAAAACAAAAATATTGCCTTGTTGAAATTTGTTCCGTTTCCTTACAATGGTCACTTACATGTACAAATTTTGTTTGACACAGATTTTAGTCTACCTAAGAGTAGTGTCACAATAATATTTAAGACTTTCACTGCTATATTGTTATATCATTGTTGCAAGGCTGTGCTGGCCCATTTTTGGAAAAATAGTAAATTGCCATTTACTGTGGGTCTTGTGGGTTACCCCCACTTGGCTTTGCCAAGACACTGTTAAACAGCTATAAAAAAGGGATACTCCAGTTTTCTTTCTCTTATCTCTAGCATGTGGTTTAAGTAGAATCAGCCTGATCATAGTATCAGGATATGTTTTCGCCGGGTGACTGAACTTACACACATACACACTTCATAATTGCTAATATTTAATGTGTTCTTTCATTTACATACATACTGAGGGGTGTCCACTAACTCTCATCCCATAAATTCAGCTTTATCTGTTAGCCATTATAATTCAGCTTTATCTATCAACCATTATATCATATTTAACAGAAGTATTCCATTCAATGTCATCCTCATAAAATGTCTAACTTAGCATTTTTGTTTTAAAAAAGAAATGCTTATAATATAAACAACAGCCTTCATGAATACAAGAGATCTTTAAATGGTTGGAAACAAAATGATATTTGAAAGTTCCCAAACGGTATGTGCTGTGATAGTACCATTCAATGGAGGTTTGTGTGCAGCTAATACTCATTGGTACCTAGCTGACTGAATCAGTCTGTCAATAGATTTTGTATCTTTTACTTGGGTTCAATCAGTATGCTAGGTTTTGTAACTGTGTCAGAACAATTCGACAATGGCCAACAAATTCAAGGCACTCAGCAATTCTGCTTCCTGAAACCTTCTTGAGCTTTTGCTGAACATTTTTTAGGTATCAAACAAATTTTTGAGTACCACATACATTTCAAGGCAGGTGAAAGGTCAGTTCAGGATGAGTGTTCAGGGCAACCAATTATCAGCAAAACACCAGAAAATATAGAAAAAATTTGAAGAATTGGTGACACAGGTTAATAGCCTAATAGATTGAATTTTTTATCTATGAATTTGGTGACATATTGAGTTCAGTTCCCTAGGTCGGGTAGGGCAGATTTAGACTCAGTGCAGAAAAAGTGAGCAATAACTGAGCAGTGGTAAATAAGATCAAAACAAAATATCCTTAGACATGGACAGCAGAAAAGGAACAACCTATCTCTTGATTAAATAAAGGGAGTTCAATTCAAAATTCCTCAAAGGCTACTGAGATTGAAAAGAACTTGAAGATCAGAAAGAACAGCTGAAACAATGTAATAATAACAAAGATGTCGTCAATAGCCTCAATGTAAATAATGATAACTCAGAATTTCAGATTGAAAATTGGAGGACGAGTCAATGAAGACCATCATTATTCTATTCTCTCACAGGATTGGAAACAATTACAGAGTCTGCAATAATATTCTAGTCTGGAACCGTTCTGATACCACCTATAAATGTCATAAGATAAATTAGGTCCTGATTGTACTTGAATTAATAGGTTTCCATATTATTACAAATAATAATAAACGGTGTTCCAATAACTTGGACTGATTTTAAATGTGAATTAAGTTTAAGCATCTAATTATTTTTTTTTCTTTTAGATTTAACAACTTAAGTCTTTGGCAATTTCACCCATGGAAAGATTAACAATCAAACAACGTTAAAGTTATTGAAATCTATTACGAAAATGGACGTTCAAACAGAAATGCATTTTGCACACTTTTTTTTTTTTTGGTCAACATAATTGACCAACTGAGAGTGCAATTGGAAATGATGTAATGTTGTTGTGGAGAGGTTCAATTCCTGCGCACGATGATGAATTAAGGTGTCTGGATTTTTGGCCACATTCTCGTGCATTCAATGTTTTCAGATGAACAGTGTAAATGAGCACGCAATGTCATTTTCACATCTGCCACCAACCCAGTTTGTTCTAATTGCACTCTTGAAACTAACATGCCATTTGATTGTTAATGTTTCCATGGTTGAAATTGCCAAAGACTTAAGTTGTTAAATCTGAAAGAAAAAGAAAAAAAAAAACATCATTAGACGCTTAAACTTAATTCATATTTAAAATCGGTCCAAGTTATTGGAACACCTTTTACATAAATATTAATGTAAAAGGTGTTTCTTTTTTATATATGCTCACACAAGTAATAGTTTATCACTTATTCAAAATTTTGTTAAGTAGAAACATTGACAAATTGTAAAAAAGAAATGTCTGTGATGAGGATTTTCTTACCATTTCCTCCCGAATAGAATAATCAGCAGATTCCAGATATTCCAACATCTCGGCTACAATTTCCTCAGCATTGGTTCGATCACACATGGCATAAAGTAAATCTACTGCCCGTTGGCGAACACTGACATCACGCTCAGTCTATGATTTAAAAAAAAAAAAATTCAAATGAAAGATAATAGAAAATATTTTTTAAATTTATAAGTAAACAAATAGAAATAGATTTGTGTCTTTACCATATATTCCATTTAGAGGCAGTGCAAGCAGTGTAACAGACATCAGAAAAGTGGAACTGGCAAGCTGTGTTCAAATTCAGGGTTAGTTTGTGGTGTTCATGCTCATATTGATGTCCAAGAGAATGGCATGAATCTATCTCTTCTCCCTTCCCCAGGTTAAATAGCTGGGTAAACTAGGCTCTCTATCATTGTGTAGTAACCAAAAAAGGAAAATGTTTGATTCACCCACTGTTTAAATGCTCCAAACCTTTGATTATGCTTGAGCATAAATGGTCAATTCGATTTCTTAGCAACAAATGCCCTATAATGTGCTAAAGCTCTTTTGCTTTGACTGAAAATAACAGAATCTTACAGCTGGAACAGAGCATTGGTAATGGTATACAAACAGTAATTGGAATCCAAGCTTTGACACAGAAAGGCCCATGACAAAAATTGCAAGCAATACTTTGCCTAGATGGCAGCAGTTCTTGCGAATGTACTTGAAATTAATTATCTGAGAATGTGCCAAAATATATTCCTGTTACAGATTTCTGTATGTGATGTCACAGAAGAAGGAATATGGTAAACAGTTCTTGGAATCCTAAACCTTCAGATCCTGCATTAATGGTAAAAAAAAAAGTCCAAAATGTGTACTGCAGCAAACAATGTGGTCACTTGTGGAAAAAGGTAATTTCAGTCAAACTACTTTTTATGATCAATAGTTTCTAGTTTCAAACAGTGGCAAATTTGTATGATTTCCCAACAAGATATTGTATGCCTGTCAAAACAAATACATTAATCAACTTTTCCAATGATGGTGTACTTGGAAAAGAATAATGCAGGACATATTTACCCAAAGTTTATTTTGTTCAACTTGACTGTCAGAACTAATTATAATTATCATTAATATTTTTTTTTCTTTAAAACTAATGACCATAATGGTTCATGCAAGTTATCAAAACACTAACAGTCAATACTAATGGTTACCAAAACACCTAACTATAAGAACAGTCAAGAAAGATACTGAAAGTACTTATTTACCTTCAGAGAAGTAATAACTGTTTCCTGATGTTTTTTGACAGCCTCATGTGAAAACTCTGAAGTTGCTAACAAACACATACTCTCCAATGCTAGATATCTGGAAAAAGAATAAACACATGAAAAATAAATTAAGAGACAAAGAATATAAAATATCAAAAACCAGTATTCAGTGATAAAGACACATACAATTTCATTAACAGTGATAGTCTAAACCCGTCTAAACACATGCTGCAGACTAAGCCTATCTAAACACATGCCATCTTTTTCTTTGGAATAAAATAGCAAAAGCTTTGGATTTCATCTGAACAAGTTACATGGAACAGGCAATGATTACATATTTGTGCACAAAATTCAAATTTTTGTATTTCTTTTTCCTCACAAGTTACAGTTACATTCATCCTAACTAGAAAAGAAAGTAAAAAAAAAAAAAAAATTATCCTTTCATTCTTTATTTAATATGTAAACAGATTTGTAAAATTATTCCATTATCGAAACAGTATTTGACAATATTTAATAGGATTTTTCTAAAAGATTATTTATTATAAATAACAAACAATGACAAAAGTTTTGCATTCTGGCAAGGACTTTGTTTTTTGTTTTAAAAAAAAAAAAAATCATTATTTCACCCCAAGCAAGGCAATAAAGCCACTGGGATGCAAGGGTTTACTGAGAATAAAAGACAAAACAATAAAAAAAAAAAATGGTGACAAGCTCTAAAGATAGAAGAGATACTGAAATAGATGAACTATTCGTGCATATTACCCCTTAGTTAATATATTCCCTTGCAAAAGCAGGAAAAGCTTTGCCAGTGGCTTGATGATGACAAGATTTGTATGAAAATATAGTTGTGACAGACCTTGCACTTTTTCACTCATTTGTGATTGGTCCAATCATAAACTTTCTTTCATGTTCTATATTTTTACGATATTAAAACTACTTGTCAAAATATTAACAACAATGAGAAAATTATATCAACATAAAACAAGTCTTTAATAATATATTGAAAATATAAAATAATTAATTTAAATGTCTTCAAAAGTATCAAAGCCTATGTTTTCAGGTGACTAATTAATTAATTTGACCTTTCCCTCACACACCTGAATTTGTGTATGAAAGACTTGAACAGAAAAAAGGTTTCAATTACCTGCAAGGTGTTGTGCCAGAAAGTGTTAATATTTTTATTATGTTTTTAAAATAGTGGCAATTTTCTATTCAAAATTTATGAACATACCTTCCACACACACACATATATATATATATATATATATACATTAAGATGAGAACAAATGAAGTGTAATTCCACTGTCCATAACATTTAAAAGAGTACTCAATACTGAGTAGAGTTAAATATTATTTATTATAGGAGATTAAAACAAAAATGTTAAAAAATCACTATACAATAGCAATTGTGTTTCAACACTATAAATGTGCCTCCTTGCATGATGGTAAATTACTGGGGAGTGAACAATTCATATAATTTTGAAAGCAGAATACTTCCTTTTTCAGAAAAAAAAAATTTTTTTAGCCTCCTATAATAAATTTTATATATATATATATATATATATATATATATATTAGAAATTAGTCAATTTTCCCAAAATTTCTTATTAGTTCTGACCGAAAAATGTCAAATTTATAAACATTCTCCTACTTGCTCCTTATGGCCTCCAATGGCTAAATCTGTAACAGAACACTTTATACATATTTTTATATATATATATATATATATATATATATATATATATATATATATATAGAGAGAGAGAGAGAGAGAGAGATTGGAGGAATAATTTTTCTTCTTTTTGCAAGTGAATGTTGCATTAAAATATTTATTTTTTTTTTTTTGAGAATAACAATGATTCTTTTCCAGGTACAAGTCCTATGTTTTAATCCATATCTTAGGGAGAAGATGGATTCATACCTTTCCTAAAGGTATTTACACTTAATTGAATGTAATGAAACCAATTGGAATTCAAACTTGGCGCTCTGATTTCTCATTCTGAGTCTCTCTCTCTCTCTCTCTCTCTCCAGTACACCACCTGCACATCCACATAGGGAGAGACAGAGAGAGATGTGATTGTGTTGCTGATATTGCTTGCATATTACTGATATTACAACTACAAAAACCTGACAGATATAAAGTTTTTCAACTCCAAAGACTTCTCAGATTACATAATCCTCCTTCCTTGAGACATTTTCCTTCTGTATTCAATGTTCATGCATATCATTACCTGAGGTTAGTTTCTCTATGCTGCAGGAATTGTCCAAGTTGGTTGCAAGCTCTGACTAGAAGATTTGGATCACTGTCCATATGAATAATGAGGTTGATAGCCTCAAACAATACTGCATTTTTTGCATTGGAATGCTGCGCTTTTTTAGATTTGGGGGCTTCTTGAGCTTTGTTCAGTATGGTCTCCAGGCATTCTGTGAGACGAGTACGCACTGCTGGATCCTCTGTTAAGGTGATGAAAAGAGGAAAACATAAAAGACTATAAATAAATGACAATTTGTGCTTGCTATCAAGAATAGAATATGTTCAGTTAATGTTATATATAAATAAAATATATTTCTTTTTAAATATATATTGTACATAATAAAAATATAATAAATCTATATATTATAAATAATCAAAATATAATAAAAATAAAAATATTCAATTTTTAAAGCCATAAAAAAAAAATATCAGATATTTTTTAAAGTCAATAAATTTAAATATAATTTTCAACATGCAAAACAATCATTTAAAAAAAATTTATTGTATTTAAAATAAATTTCTATCAATTTAAATATTTTGATCATTATTAATTTTTACATTTAATTTCATCCTTAATTTTTTAGCAACTTTTTATTGCACCTTGACTCAGGCTGACAATCGATGGCAGTGAGTAGAAAGCACAAGGTTGGAAAGAAAGGATTAAACTTTTGTTGAGATTCAAACTCTTTTGTCTCAAGAAATCTTGTTGAACACACCTGCTGCTTTAACCAATTAAGTTACAAGAACTCTGTGGCTTTGAAGAAAAAATTTAAACTATTAATACACAATTCCAATCTTGTGCTATCTACTCACTACAATAAATTGAATGGCTGACTAAAGTAGTAATGAAAAGCAAATAAAAAGAAAAAAAAATGAAGAAAGTAAATATTAGTTAAAATAATGATTTTCTTTTTTAATTATTTTTCAAAACTTGTATGACTTTATTTAGTATCTTTTGTTCAAATTTCTTTATCTTGCAGTTGTTAACAGCCTAATTACTCTATTGTCCAATGTACAAAGTTTAAATATTCATTAAATCATTATTCACACAATAATGGCTGACAATGCTCCATTTACTAAAAAATGAAGATGAAAGGAAATACAAGTCAAACATTAATAATATGGTTGACAAGGCTTCATTCAATTAAAAAAAATCATATGCAAGAAAATACTAGCCAAAAATTAATAAAAATAGCAGACAATGCTTCAGCTAATAAAAAAAATAAAGATGGAAATAAATACTAGTAAAAAATGAATAAAATGGCTGACATTGTTTCATCTGATAAAAAATGAAGATGAAATATTAGTCAAAATGTAAGAAAATGGTAAATAAAAAATAAACAAAAAAAAATAATACTTATATTATTTTTGTCGTTACATAGAGTAGATGAAACTCTAGTAGAGTGCATAAGGATCACACATCTACATCTGCCAATGTGATGCAACCATTTTGTTTTGAATGTGATTTCAAACCCAACCCTTATCAAATATGTTTTACTACCTCTATCTCATAACAGCTGTTGGATTTGCATACACATTTTGAACATTAAATGTAGCAAATGTCGCAACTACTTTGGGACAAGGATATTAGATATTCTATCCACTTAAAAGATATAAGTATATAAAGAGCAAAATAATATTTCAGTCATGTCTCTCTGCAGCTTCTTTTTCTTTGCTAACACTGAGCTGCCATGACAGAAAAATATTTCTCATTGACTTCTCCACAGTTCTGAATTCAGAGTTTTGCTTCTCCCAGATTGCTTAAAGAATCCAGTCTGCCTTACATTTTTTTTTTATTCACAGTTGTGGAGAGAGATCTGCCTTTCTAAAATACTCTTAGTTAGAATTTGAACTTTGCCTGCCAATTCCACATTATGTCTTGATAACCATTATGCCACATGCAAAAGCATATTCCCCATTTAAATGAAATTTAAGCATCACATTTGTTTAATTCTAAAAATGTGTAACACTGCTTAAACTATCTTGATATCATTCACTGTCTGGTGATATTAATTACTTAATTTCATTCACCTGTGACAAAATATCCTTATGATTTTGATAATTTTCATCTTATTTTCCCTTGTGTATAATTTCTGTACAGAATTAATTTTGTATCTAATGGACATGTTTGTGTTGCAGTTCCAAAGCCTCCATTTTTGTATTGCCATTTTTTGTATGGTAAACAGGATTCATGTTTTTTATTATTCAACATAGCATTTCTTTGTGTTACCTTGTGAGCATGCACAGGTAGAGGATTAAATTGCAATGTGGGCAGGGAAAGGGATTACTGGTTCAGGAGGGGGAAGCTTGGGTGAGGGTCTGTTGTTGTATGTTTACAATGTCATTTTCTCTTTGAGTTACAAGTGCTATACATTTTCATTGTTGCCATTTCTGAAAGCCCTGAAGTGATCTCATTTCTGTCATGTGGCACAGTTTTTTTTGTTTATGATTCTGTAGCGCCAGTCCACAAGGTTCAAAGAAGGATGGTCCTCTCTAAAACCTACAGGATTCATTTGCTCTTAGCCCTTTTAAACATTGTTCTGAGAAAGCAGTTGTAGAGCTGACAGTTTAGATATTTCTGAACTAGTTTAGCACCAGGCATGGAATCCATTTGAAAGTCTCAATCTAATGAGACTCTTTAAGAACAATGATCCTGAAAGAACTTTGGAGACTGTTTTGAAAAAGTGAAAAAGATATAGCAATAAGTGAGTTAACCAAGAGAGTACCATATGAAAGCCCCAATCTGACAAGACTATTGAAGAACATAACTCTAATTATTATGTTAATGCTTTGTTTTTGCAGATATTTTCGGTGTTTGATAAAACACAGCCTATTCAATTTCATTATCTCCTATGCTAAATTCAATAGTATATGATATGACATATTTTGTGACATATTTTTATATTGTGGGTGGGGTGGGAGGTTGCTTACCTTAGTCTGTACACTGCAGAGTGTCTGACTGAAAACAAAATGCCAGTGTTCATGAGAGATCAACATAAGTGTCTTTATAGTCATTTATTTCCAGTAAACTCTATATTTTTCTCACTAAAAGTGGCCAGCACAGCCATGCAACAATGCTATAACATATAAATATGCTGTAGTGAAAGTGTGAAAGCACTATTTACAGAGAGAAATATAGTAATTTACATTATAGAGACAGGATGATTGTAATGTTGTAGGAAAGGAGGAGGTTTCTCACCTGGGGGAGGGTAATTCTGTAGCAGTCTTAGCAACTTCACTGATAACCAAGGTGCAGGAACAAAATAATATGTATAGTCCTGTAGATCAGTGTACGATGAAGTAACGATCTGGAAAATAATAAAAAAAATTAAAAAGGATAAAGAGGACCCAGTGAAATTCAGTTGCAAGAATATGTGCAGAAAATACCAACCTTGTAAAACGCCGAGTGCATATGCTGGCTGACCCCATTTTTTCAATGAAGGAAGTACACCTTATGAAACTGAGGCCAACTTTTTCTTTCTTTTACAAAAGTAAAGTTTGAGAAAATTACCTGAATTTACTGCTTAGTGGATTTGCAGATGTGTGCTAAAACTGGCATGTAGTCAATGATTTTTGAGCTAGTTGAAAAAGTCTGTTTTGTCTTTTTTGACTTGTCATAGAAAGTTTTATAAAAATAATCAAATTTAGGAATGCTAAATAAAAAATAAAAAAAAAAAGTAAAAAAGGCCAGAATAACTTAATGCTAAGCATATGTAAAACATTTTTGGCAAACTTGGACCTCACAAAAGAAGAAAAAAAGAAAAAGGAGTGTGAAAAGGATGTTTTTCTTTTTCCTCTATTATTTTAACTACCTTCACTTGTCAGCAATGTTTGTTGTTTTAAAAAGTGATAAGAATTGTAATTGAATCTAAACATATGATGAAAGTGAATTTATACATTTTTTTCTTGAGAAATTACAACAAAAAAATATTAAACACTATTTACTTTATTTACAAGAATAATTTTATATTTACAACATTCTAAAAACTAGTGCAATATTCATCATTTACCAATTCATATAGAAATAAATATGAAAACAATTTTTTTATTTATAAACATTAAATTATGAAAATGTGAACCAACTATGAGGAAATAATTATTTACGATTTTATAAAGTTTGAATTTATTGGCAATTAGCCAATGTTTTTGTCAACAATTCCAATAAACAATCTAATAAATAGTGTTTATTATTTTTGTTGTCAATTCTCAAGAACAAAGAAAATGTATAAATTCACTTTCATCCTATTTAGGTTTTAACACTTTTTTTTTTTTTTAAAGGGCACAAAGGTCCATGTCTGCCAAATTTTTCAAATATTTGTTAAAACAGGGAAGTAGCAAAAAAGTGAATTTTAAAAATAAACTCTCTCTGAAAAGTAGTAGTCATTTGTAACATCAGTCATATCTTCTCATTATAGCATTAATACAATACTATGGCTTACTTTTCAAGTGATAAATCCATTTTTCAATAATAATAGTCAATAATTTAATAAATGTTCAAGCGACTTATCTCTTAACTGACTCCAGAATTTTGTCTATTACCACTCTTCAGGGTTAAAAGATTATTATTCATAATAATTATTATTAATAATAATAATAATAATAATAATAATAATAATAATAAGATTAACAAAGTAATAATTATTAATTAAAAATAGTAATTATTTCAGTAATAACAACAAATTTAGAAATTGATCAAAAAGTTTCATTTGAATATTGAGTATCTGAACCACTTTCTGGGGATAGAGAATGTTGATTATTAAAATCCTGCTAGTGGAAAATACGGTTTCCACAGGAAAAGGATATACTTCAGCACGTCCGAGCTACAAGTTGAATTCAACAATAGAGAAAATGGTACAATTTTAGGGTGAGTGAAAATTAATTAAGAATCTGTCATCAAATACATACTCTGCTTAGTCTGGAAACAGCGAGTGAGACACAGCCTTTGTATTCTTCAGGGTTCTTTTTCACCAGAGCTTCAATAAGACTAGCTGCAGAAGTCACAACACCCTAGAAAAGAGGAGGAAAAAAAAAAAAAATCAAATATACAAAACAATACAGAGCCTGATGATATTTACAACTAAGTTTTTAAAGGGTAATTCATGAGAAATAATGGAGACCTATGGGGAGCTATAGAAATTTCATGTAACAGGATAAATACAGATATAATATAATATTTGGTTGGATAGATGTGAGTTTGTGACCCTGGGTTTCATGCTTTAGCGATCGCCAGACAAACTCTGTCGATCGCTAAAGCGTGAAACCCAGGGTCACAAACTCACATCTATCCAACCAAATATGTTAGCTCTATCTCTGATATTGAGCGCTTAATAAGTACCACACATATATATATATATATATATATATATATATATATATATAAATAATGGATTAAATTCGACATATTGCTATTTTTAGTTTATTTTGTTTAAATGTTATTTTTGATGGACACTTATATTCAAGTAGAAGCTCTGTTTTAATTAAACAGTATTTTTTTTTATCTAATTACATCTACTGACAAGAATATTTGAGAAATCTTGTCAGAAAAATATACGTCCTCTGGCAGGATTCAAACCTGCATCCTCTATAGGGAACCATCGTTGGATCTGATGTGACTAACCGCTTGGTCACATAGGACTTACGGTCAAACAAAGCCCAAATAGTACCTTTTGAACACACTCTCTCTCTCAAACACAATCTCTCTCTCTCTCTGCTGATTCCTTGAAACATCCATATCTACTTTGTATCATATCCTAACAAAGACAATTTATTTTTAGTAAATGGATTAAATCTATATATCTATTTTTATAATTTATTTTGTTTAATTCAGTTTTTGTTATATTGTTATTCAGGCCAATATAATAATTTGGATAAAAAATATTGTTTAATTAAAAAAACAGAGCTTCTACTCGAATACAAGTATCCACCAAAAATAACATTTAAACAAAATAAATTAAGAATAACAATGACGCATATTTTTCTGACAAGATTTCTTGAATATTCAGACCAGTAGATGTAGTTGGATGAAAAATGCTGTTTAATTAAAAAACTGAGCTTTCACACACAGTAACCCCTGCATTTTAGTGACTTTATTGGGGTGAAATGATTAAAAAAATATCTATGTGATATTAAGTCAAATGTAAAAATAAATATTCTTACAAGGATGGATCAATATGTCCATAGAGCAATACAGTTGTCAGTCAAATTTTATCTAAATTTTCAATGTTTAATATTTGTAATTAATACAATCAATTTTGTCTGGGTCCTGACGAGGGAGAAATCATAAAACTCCAAGTTAGCCTCTTATAAGTATTGTGAACTTGAATTTCTTCTGATATAATAATGTTCAATCTATGGTATTAGTCAAGATTATGTTGCCAAATATTTATATAAAATCAATGTTTTGTTTTCTTTTTACATAATTAAGCTACAGACTTATTGATTGACCTACTCAAATATTATCAAAAGAACATTATAGAGGGAAAGCAAAGGGAAAAAGATTCAGAAAGACATATTAGTTTTTCTTGGTGAAACTTTATTGCTATTTGATCACAAAGATGAGAGAATGATACACTTATCATTATGATTTGATTAAAATAAAATCCTGAGAAAAATGTCAATGAGAATAAATAACTCCTATGAAAATCTTAGAACTTACCATATGTTGATCATTTAAAAGGTGTATGACACGAGAGGTCCATTCTCCCATTTGGATCAAGTCTGGAGAGGTTCGAAGAAGTCGCAGTAGAGTAAGAGCAGCACTCTGTTTGACAGAGTCAATGGTATCTCTGAAACGAGTATAATTAAACAGATTTTAGTTAGGTTTTCATATCTGTAGCATAATAGATCATTTATTATCATTTCAAATGGGATATATGGATGGCATAACATTAATTACCAGTTTGGAAAATGGAATTGACAGGCTCAGTTCAAATTTCAGCCAAGGTGGGTTCACTTTATACAAATATCTTTGCAAAAGTTCTTCTCTCTAATCTTGTTAGATTAGAGAGTATAGTCTTTTGCAGAAACTACATTCACTCTTCAGGAGGCATGATTGTAAAATTCTAAAATTTTACATTCAAATAGCCAGAAGAGTGTTTTCTGTGAAATTCAAATGAGGGGAAAAGATAAGTGTACTTTTAATTTTATTTATTACTATTAATGCGCTCTATCTCTTGATATTGACCACTATAATTACAAAGACAGTTGGCTTCAAAAATGTCATCTACAAGTAATATCCTGATTGACATGTTTTCTTTTTGTCAAAAATACAATCTTTGTTTGCAGACAAAACTGTAAGACACAATTTTTATTGAATACCGGTACAGGTTTTGAGATTTGTCAGTCAAAGATTTATTTTAAAATTCCTTCTTAAAAAAAAGAAGAAAAAAAAAGTGTTTCCATATTGCTAAAAGGAGCATTATTTAAATAAACCTGCTAAATTGTATATAACAGTCTTCTAAATGTAAAAAATAATTTTGTAGAGTTATGCTACCTGTATGTTACACTAACCTTTCTTTTTTTTAAATTTTATTTTTTTTCTCTCATTAATAATTTTGAATTATTGAATCAACTCTAAGAATTTTTAATTATTGTCTACTACAAATTTGCAATGTCGTCTTTTCATTTGAAGTTAATACTTAAATCAATTTAAAACTCTGGCTGATGAAGGTAATAAAGTCTTGAAATGTGTGACAACATTCACTAAAAAAAACATTACACTGATTACTTTGTTCAGGGCATAATACATCTGATTTTGGGAGACTTTAATCTTTTTATATAGATTTCCAGCTTAGCTATTTAAAGATTTTTTTTTTTTCTGGCAGTGGAGTTCAAACTGTAAAATCTTTCCTTGAATAATATTTTTAAAAAAATCATAGAATCAAAGGTTTACATCAAATTCGTTTTTTAGTAATGTCATCATTTATAGATTTATATATTTTGTATTGTCTGTTACAAGGTTGTATTGACATTTTTGCATTTGAACTTAAAATTAAAACAACTTAAATCTCTAACTGATGAAGAGAATAGAAGTCCAAAAACTTGTGCTAACATTCAATAAAAGGAAAATATGTTTTACAGTTTTTGTCCACACTTATAGTATGTCAGTCATATGGTTCAGTAATTAAATGGGCTAATGTCTTTTGCTGACAAGAAGTACAAAGACAATTTTTCTCACCAGAATCATATCTTACACATTTATAAGTTGACTATTCATCCATGCATTGAATATTGCTGCCACATTTGGTCTGGTGCTCTTGCTATATATCTCGAGATTCTTGATAAAATCCCATAAAGAATCAGCAATGTTATCAGTTCTGCCCTGTCATCTCATCTTCAGTCACTCTCCATCACCTTAACAGTTTCCCTGTGCCTTTTCTATAAATATTTTAATGGTAATTATTCTCTTAGGCTCCCAGAGTTCACAAATTTAAGCACTGTACTAGATTGGCAGCTAGGTCTCAAAGTTGAAATGAAGAGATGTAACCCTAACTTCTATGCTAATAATTTCTTCTCTCGCATTTCTTGCTTGTGAAACTATTGCAGCCTCTTGCTTTCCAGTCAACTTGGGTATTCAAAAATTTAAATGCAATGTCAATTATCTTCTACCATCTTAATTCCTGTTCTTAATCTTTAATAATTTTTTTTTCTCGTGTTCTTTCAAACTTAATAACCTGACATCTTAGTGGCTTTATTGCCTTGCTTGGAATGAAATGATTAAAAAAAAAAAAAAATTTGGGACATCAAATATAAATAAAATTCTTTGTTATTGTAAATATCTGACCTATACATTACATTTTAATAACTACTCCACGATATGAAACATGATATATCATATGAAAAGACATATAAAGAGCAAAAAATGTATAACTAAGAGAAACATAGCATATAAAAGTAGGCTGGCTGAAAACTCCTAAGTTACAGGTATTATAATAATAATAATAATAAAAAAAATAATAATAAAAAAAAAAAAAAAAAAAAAAGATATGCACAATTGGTTGCCAAATGCGTGAAATACCAATTTTTCTAATTACAGTTGTAATAACCAAATGAAAGAATACAGATTATTTGAAGTGTTTCAAACATGTGATACAGCAGGTTTCCCCACATGTCTAGCTTAGAATACACACAAAGTCAAGTGAGTCCTAAATAATTTTAGGTATCTGAAGTTTTTATAATGAGCAGTAAAGCTTGCAAAATGTGATCTTCAAAGCAGCCACCCACTTGACCAAAGGAGAATTAAAAAAAATAGATAAATAAATGAAAACTTTTGGGAACAAGTGACCCTTCACTTAGGAATTTCTGTGCATATACAAGAGCCAGATCTGGCCAAAAATGGAGCACTGTTGTCATATTTGGGCAGAAGCTGCCCGAATCTTCCTCTCCAGCTTTGACAGAGTCCAAAAGCACCTCCAAGTCCTTGTGGGTGATGAATTATTCTCCACCCTCCTTCCCACAGGCAGGATATGGCATGCTTCTCACTGCTCTATCACTACTCCCACTGAAAGTGCTCGGATGAACTACATTCTCTAGTCCCGCCAATTCAAACGTTCATGGCAAGGACACGCCATGCTATTTACATAGTAGCAAACCATCCACATTCTCTCTGTATCCCATCAGTAAGAATTAAGTTCCACACAAACAGCTTCTTCCCACAAACCACTGTTCTGTGGAACTGACATCCAAATAGGATGTTTCCCCACCAATCACTACAATCTTAACCTGTCAAGGTTAGAATTAACTGTTATCTTCCACTCCTATCTGCACAAATTGCCCTCTAACATAACTCTCTATCTCGAGTGACCCCCTCCTGGGCCTTGTAAAGAGTGAACCTTTAGTCAGTTATGTGCCATATATGCTACACGCTTAGACGATCATGTATCTTTCAATATATGAGTGACAAGGCAGATTTTTCCCACAGTAGGTTGCCATTTTTTTCTGCGGTAGACCAGTTGCCCAGTCTGTCCTGCTATTTACCCATAGCTGGGGGGAGAAGAAAAGGATTCATACCTTTTCCAAGGATATTAGCACATAAGTGAATGTAATGGATTCGACTGGATTTGAACTCTGCTCTCTGATTCCTCAATCCAAGCCACTATCCATTACTCCACCATGCCTCTTGGATGAACCTTACTAGAGGAAAAAAAAAAAAAAAAAAAAAAACAGAAACAGTAGTAGTTCCAGGCCAAAGAATGTACTGTTGGTAGAGAGTGAATTGCCAGCAACACACAATGTAGAGATGGGCAGAATGGTAGTAGGAGAAATTCAGAGTTATTGCAAAATTTATCCCAAGCATCACCAACCAGCCCACCAGAATGTGAAAAGAATCCCTGATTAAACAGCTAAATATAAATATAGAATTTATGTTTTTATTTCTCACTGTTGTTTTAATTACATCTTTTGTTTCTTTAGGGAACATGCAATGGATCTTTCCCAGTTTGGGGGCAAACCAATGTGAACAAGAATAGAGAAAAAATGAGGGGTTATTTGTCTAATCAGTAAAAATGTGGGATGGACTTCTTGTATGTTTACAATTATACAATTTTAATCAGTTAGTATTTGCAAAAATACAGAATAATTCTTCAAATATTTCGGTCAGAATCATGGATAAGCGTACACATACCCTGATACAAGAAGACGTGGGATTTCAGTGCCAAGGTTTTCTGCCATTTCACGGCTTCCAATATTGGCCACACATTGCAGGGCCAAGTTGACATGCACAGGGTTGCGGCTGTTCAAGTCATTTTTGATTGATTGGATAACCAATTTCATGAGGTCACTGCTTGCACTAATTAAAACAGTGATAAATAGATAACCCTGAAAAGAAAAGAAAAAACAATTAAAATCAATAGGCATGAGAAAAAAAACAATTAAAATCAATAGGCATAAGAAAAAATTATCATATTAACTTTTTTTTAAATACAGATATTAAGATACAAATAACAGATTACATGTTAATTCAAATTTTATCTAAGTTCAAATGGTTAAAATTCCATTAAACATATTGCTTTTGCTGATTCAAGTGTTTCTGTTTAAGGCTTTTGACAAGCATACATTTCATAAGAAAAAAAGAGGAAACTGTCTTTTTGAACAGCTACTTTATGGAACAGAGTCCCAAGTAGGTGCTTCTCCAAATAATACAATCTTAACCTATTCAAGTCTATGGTCAACCCTTACCTATCATACGTATCCTCATAATCTGCACCCCACCACCAGTGGATACGAAGTTGATGAAATGATCAGAGGCTCACAATGAGAAATTGCAGAGCAGTTTCATTTCTAGTTGGGTTTGTTACATGCATTCATGTGCAATTACCCTTAAGATATGAATCCATCTGACTCCCCCTCTAGGTAGGTATTAAATAGTAAGACTTGAATCTAGAAAATCATTGTTTTTACCAAAAATTGTTTATTCAATATTCACTTGTAAATAAAAAAATAAAATAAAAAGAATTATTCTTACAATCCAAAATGTTTCAGCTTTAAGTAACCTACAAAATGTTGATAAGCCATATAAAAAAAAACAAAAACAACCAATTCGCTGCCTACGTCAATACAATAACCATACAACAATCATTTAGTAACCATCTACCTTGAGTGGCACTTGGGTTTTGTATTATAAAATAATAGTTAATATACGGACCTATTCAGATCATTCACAGTAATCCAAGAGTAAATAAAAGCTAGTCAAAAAGATTATCCTATTTTAAAAATAAATCTAACTTTAAACTGAATTTCAAGGAGGCACTATTGATCAATTTTTTTTTTTTTTTTACAGTTTATCAACCCATTGAGGGTTATTTGAAGCTGAAACATATTTCAGATTGTAGAAAGTTGCTTATAGCACCACCCAGTGCTCCCAAGCAATCCCCAATCTAAGTACCGACCAGGTTTGATGCTACTTTGGTGATCAAAGTAGAACAGGCATTTTCAGTATAATTTGATCATAGGCAAAGAGGCACTAACCAAATAAATTCTATAATTTTGCATTGTAAATAATCCCAAATCAAAATCTTCATTTAAAATAGTCAAAAAAACATTTTTTTTAATTAGCATTTATATTATTAAATTTTTGGCATGCTATTTTCAAGAATTTTGATTTTGACATGGATAAAAATATTTAAGGTGTCATTAAAATTTGAAATTTGCCTCAAAAGAATATGTGCTCAACTTCGATTTGACCCCAAGACCATGCTCTTGGGGTCAGAAGGAGTCCATTTTGCACAATTACAAGGGGTGGAACTTAACCACTCTCAGGCCAAACATTATAAACATGAAAGCTAGCATTGGAACGACACTTCTACATAACCTGGTGAACATAAGACTGTAATGAATGTATAACGCTCCAACTTAATTTAATGAAACTATTTAAATGAGGAAAAGGAAAATCTCAAGTATTATTTTTTCCCTTCATACTCCGTTACTAAGAAGAAAGTTCCATTCAAACAGTTTCTTCCCTAGAACCACTACTTTAATGGACAGACTCCTGAGAGGATGCTTCCCCAATCACTACAATCTTCACCTTTTCAAGTTTTGGGTTAACTGTTATCTTTCCTACATATCCTCTTGGACTGCTTTTTTTACCTCCTCCTCTTCAGTACCACAACCTCAATCAATAAACCTCTAGCTTGAGTGGCTCAAGGGCCTTGTATTAGGTGAACAATTAGTAAAACAGAGAGGACCCTAAAGAAATAAAGTAAAAAAATTGAGGATTCATCATTTGCTAAGATTTTGGGAAGTAGGTGCCAGGCTAAAAACTTTTCAGCACCTCTTTGTATAGCAGACAAACCCGTTTTTCCTTTAATAATATCTTTCTATTCTCTTTAGGCTTTATCATTTGTGAATGTAACTAAATTACTTTAAATAAAAGATAATTCTTTCAGCTGATCTATAATCTAATCAGTGCAGATAAATGTTACTGATATATATATCTTCCCTAATATTTTTTCAAGGATTTTCAAGATGGAATGGATATTGATGAATAAGAATCAGAATTGCCTGGCTTCCCAAAAGTGTGACTTCCTTCTCAATCTACTTTTTCCCTATCCCAGTTTGTGGTTGTCATGTACACCCAAATGATTTCTTTGGTGGAGTGCTGCAAGTTAATAACATAGCTTAAAGAGACTCTGTAGAAAGGAACCTCTTTATTCAACAGCTGCCAGCAACATTGAAATGCTGCCAATGACTGGATCAATCCAACACTGCTTTCTTGAAACCAATCCAACTGACTTGATATTTCCTGTCCAATGCTAAAACAAGGCAATTTAGATAATGTTAGCTTTTAAATTTATCTTGGTCAAAATAAACAAGAAATCGATTTTTTTTTTCTAAGCTTTAATTTTCAAGATATAGGCTGAAACCATCAGATACACAAATTATATATATCTTCTTAAAAAGAATAAACATTTTATGTCGATTAAATTTATTGATTTTTTTTCTAGTATGCAAATAACATTTTGCAAAAGTGGCTGTTGTCAGGGGTATAAAATAACCAAAATTCATATTGGCCCATGCTTTCACTTCTCATGATTCATCTACATAGTTGTAAGTTAGAGTGACTGATTTTTTTAAGGCTTATCAACCCTTCAAGAGTTATTTAAAGCTGAAATATTTTGGATTATAAGTAATTATTTTTGTGAATGAATATTGCATTAATAAATTTTTGGAGATAATTTTTCCATGTACAATCCTACTATTTAATTCACAGATGGAGGGTGGGGAGATGGATTTATACCCTTCCCACAAGTATTTGCACATAAGTGAATTTGAACTCGGATCTCAGGTTTCTCCTTCTGAGCCACTATCCATTACACCACTCGCACATCTATGCAAGTAAGAAAAGAGAATATTAAATGTATTTCAAGCAGCACATTGTTTTAAAACAATCATTATTGTAAAAAGTATTTTTCTTTCTTCTTTTTATTTTTCATTTGAAAGCTAAATCCAATGGTTTTAGGTTTCAAACCAAAACACAAAAAAACGACCCTTCAAAATCATGCGCTGCTTAAAATATTATGGAGATATGTAGGATATTGATATAAAACAAAAAAAAATTCTTTAGTATTTTACAAGAGAAAAAAATAAAAGAGGAACAAATTAACAAAAGAAAAAAAAAATGTCATGTCAAATTTATAGGCTAGACCAGTGGTTCCTAAACAATGTGGCATGCCTCATAGATGTGGCAGAAGAGGATAGCAAGTGAGACATAATGATTGAAAAAAAAAAAAAAATTTAGAAATAATTTCAAAAAATTCATATGCCAAAAATAAATGGTTTAAAATATTACTATAGATTACCTGTAATTGCCTGCAGGAATCCCAGTATAAAAAGTTATAACAATTAACTGTTTTTATCATTGTGATATTTTTGCATTATATCAAGTATTAAGAATACAGCAACTCGGCTCTGCAAAGTGGAGGAGAGAGTTATCAATAATAATGTTCTGATTTTAGAATCCACAGTTTTCCTTTTAACCTTCTGCCCATTTTTTATTTTCAAATGTACTTTTTTATTACATAAAATTTGGCGAGGCACAAGCAAATTTGAATTCCAAAAATGTGGCCCAGAGAAGAAAAGTTTGTGAACCACTGGGCTGGGCTAGACTAATGCAAATTGTTAATGGTAAATGTAACTTCCCCAACCAAATATTGACATTCAACCCCTGGGGAGGGTAGCACAGAATCAATGAAAAAGGACTAGCCATAACTGAGCAGTGTTTAAAGAAAAAAAAAAAAAGACATCTCTAGACATAAAACAGTGAAATGAGAATAATCACCCATGGATTAAATAAAGGATTCATTCAAAATTTCCTGCAGGTTACTCAAATGGACATACACCTGAAGAAGGTCAGTGGGCATAATGGCCAAAACATTGTGATAATAAAGATGAGAACATTGACCGCAAATAATAAACTTACATGTATATAATTTTGAGTAAGTAAATTTATATATCTAGTAATACACTAATTTAAAAAAAAAAAAAAAAAAAGGAGAGAAAATCAATTAAGTATAGAGAAAAAAAACAAAAAACAAAAAAAAACAAAAACAAACACCAAGTCCATAGCTAGAGATCATAAAACCTGAGGGAGGGAGATCAATACACTTTTGTTTTGTGGCCATTTGACAAAAAGCATCCTCTATTTTGATGTACTATTAAAAATCAATGATCATACCACTAGACAAGGCAGATAAATTTTATTTACATCTCTGAGCACTCACAAAATGGAAACAAGATAAAGAGCTGCTGACCAAAGTTGAAAAGAGGATCCAATTTGAAATTAGAGGCTGGTTACGCATGTGAATAATGAATGTCACCTGAATAAACGCTGCTGCTGCTAATGGTTACCATAGAAATGCACCAAGGAAGCTGAACATTTCCAACTAAGGCATCTATTTTTCCATTTAGTTCCATAATCCCTTCCATTGGCTAAAGGTGACCATTTCTATAGACAGCATTGTACGTCTATTCAACTGCTCACTTATTATTTCTTGATCTTGCCATACAGCAGCCATCATCAAATGCAAGCCAATCCAATTATGCATTATTAGTTACCAATAAGAGTTGGTTAAAAGTCAGCTGAATTTGAAGGAATTTCATATCACAGTGGCTGGATTGACAAGGTTAGCTGAACAGCTGACCTTCACAGTTAAAAAAAAAAAAAAAACATTAAGTAATTATTTATAAATTATTCTCAAAGCTTTGTCAGAGTTTTTTTTTTTTCCAGCTATTTTTCTAGTATGCTTAATCTTTTTACAAGTCAGATTAGACCAAAAATAGTTTACTGCCTCTAAAAAGAGAGGTGTTGTGTCAGGTAAGGC